GCCTACATTACAAACATCTAAATTATAACCTTACAAATACAAAATGCGAAAAAATACAAATATAAGTATTGGTGATGAGTCATCGAGTCTAATGTTAAACAAAATTCTAACTGAAATTTTCGTATATTATTTTTTTTACAAAATTTGCAATTTTACAAAGTTTGACATGAAGAAATACTACAACGTGTGGATAAACTGTGCAACTTGTAAATAATGAGGAAGAACCAACACAGTCAAATATTTTGCACCTGTCGCATTCTGTAATTTAACAGGTGCAGAGATATCGTATCCCGACAGGTAGAGCAGGTTAAGGTTAATTATTGCGTGTATATGTCCCTTCACTACTATATGTGTACATATACCAATTACACCTTGATCGTATATGCTGATAATAAAGGCATCAATTGCGATAATAATTTGCTATTAAACGAAACCAACCCTGATCTCATAAATATTATGCATAACGACTAATTAAGTTTCTGCACATATAAATAAGTCACGCTATCGTCTCGTCTATGACATTGCTGGGAATTTGCACGTTTATTTTTGTTTATTTGTGGAATGAGTCATTCACCAATGAGGCAGAGGGCGGATATGCATTTAAGAAAAATCGTGTATTTAATATTTACTAAAAATATTTACGAAAAAAACTATTACAAAATTAATTCTCAAAAAATTTATAGTTTTTCTCGAGCAAAAAATGCCGTCTCATATCGTTGAGATATTAAAAAAATATATATATTTATAATATTTTGTAATAAAAATGTATGTATTTTGAAAAAAATATGGATTTTTGTGATCCAATTTCTTCGATTAAAAAATTTCTTCCTGCATAGTCCAAATATTAAAAAATATGTATATGTTGTGAAAAAAATATCTAAAAATTAATTTACACATTTTTCAAATTACAGCAGAAATATTTATGCTTAAAAAACTAGAAATATGTGACTATGTAAAAATATTTTGAAATTTTTATAGTCTAAGCGAGTTAGGGAATACATCCACAAAGTTTGACGGTCCGTCGTCATCGCATGAAAAAGTTGAAAATAAATACATATCCATCCTCTGATTAATAATCAATCAATAACGCAGCTGAAAATTAGATCAGCGGAATAAAGGAAGCCTCAAAGACATCCAGTTGTATGAAAATAGTTCAAGATTCTCTTCTCTTCTGACGCAGAGGGGAAATGTATTTAATGCAACGGCTGCTTCTATATGAGACACATTACTACGTGGAAGAGGAAATTGGGCTTATCTCCGCCAAAAAGGAATTACACTTATCAATTTCAATTTTTCAACTAATCTTTTATCGTAAAAAATGACGCCGTCCCGCTCACTGCTTCTTCTCGGTACCGTATTCGTTATCGTCCTGGCTATAATTTCGGGTAAGTACTCGTCCTTAATGTGAAATTAACGTAAGACTCGATAACCAGAAATCAATACAATTGTCAGAATCAACACATTTTTGATAATTCTTATCTTCTGGGAATTTATTTTAAACGACAAATTTGCAGTCAGTGAATTGATTAATGGAATGACGGTGAGTTTTTTAAGCCAGTTTCGATAAGTTCCAATTTTTCTGAAGACTTCCTAAACTTAAGATCTCCTCCTTCAAAAAGTGTCAAAATCTGCAGCGTATATTTTTTTTAATGGGGAACTCCCTGCTCTACAAATTTGTCGCCCAGAATTTTAAAATAAATTCCCAGCCCCGAAAAATGATTAAAAACGTGCTGATTTGGACGATTATCTAAGTCTTACGTTGCGATAAATCGCTTATCTTATGCAAATTTATTTACCAGCCGCACAATCCGCTCCGCATAATGACTGCGATTGTCACTACCAGACGGACAAGGGGGGCTGCGTGATCACGAGGGGTCCTGCCGCTGCCGGATTTAAATGCAGGTGTCGCGTTTCCCGATTTTTCTTAATTACGCACTGCATCGGAACCAGGATTGGCTGTAATGCGGGCGAACTTTGTCCAGCGAATTGCGCATCGAAGGATTGTTGTTTGCTGGCTAATGGAAATTGCGACGGATATTAAGTAAATAGCTAACAAATTAATGTAATGTTAACAATTAATTAATTAATTGATCAATTAAAAATAAAATAAATAAAAAGTTAAAAAGTTTACAAATAAACCCACTGAAATTTCAGGGGTGGAAAAAATGTGACATCAAAATACAAAAATGCAGATATACATATGTATATATGCAAATATGTACTTCGGGCATCAAAATACTGAATCAATTCACTTAAAATGTAGGCTTTGGTAACCTTGTAAAATCCGTAAATTCTGTAAACTTTACAAAATTTTACAACAATTTTTAAGGAAAATTTGCGTACAAATTTTTAAAAACTTGCCAGCCAAAAAAAATTGTAAAAAGTGCACGATTTATACGGAATTTGAAATTCTAAAATTAATTTAGAAATTGTAGCTTAACAGATCAAGGACATCTTTTTAGTTTGAGACAATTCACCCAGTCTTTGGTAACTTTTCAAAATTCGTAAATTTTGCAAAATAATTTTATAAACTTTTACAAAAGAAAGAAACGCCTTGAGCTGAGCAAGATTACAAAACTTTGAACCTAATTATTCTATACATAAATGTTACTGTTCATCCAGTCTTATTAGTCGTAAAAAATTCTGGAAGGTTACCTGGCAGATTATTTATTTTTCAATTAGCAACCAAATGACCTCTCAGAAAATTTTCCAAGAAATTGCGACTATTAATATTGGATGAACAGTAGTCAAACTTTATTAGTTTACGGATTTTATAAAGTTACAAAGACTCTTAATTGTCTAATTACAAGGAAACAATCTAATTCAAAACGTGTTTCATAAAATACAAATATAATAGTAAAACGGCGTCAAACTTAAACAGAACTATAACTTTTGATTAGATAACTACTGTTTTGTTAAATATGTTAAAATGAATTTATTGACATTAATATAAACGAAACCTAATGATAAATTCACATTATTTGTCAATGCTCAGGTTTTGAGTAGGGAGATGAGTATTTGCATCCGACGGGTAGAAAACGCTCGGTAAATTTGAAAAGTGTACAATTTTCGAAAATGTCGAAAATGTTTTGATCGTTTTATAAACGTAAACTTGTAGCTTATTTAATACACTGTTAAAAATCTGGTTGAGTCAGATACATACTCGGTGCTGGTATCGATTTGGTAATAATTTTCTCCCAGATTGGTAGTAGTTTATTTCTGACTGGTAAATTTTTCATTACCCCAACATTACAAAACGGTAATGCAATGTCCGTTATTACCTGTACGGGAAGAGTCATATATATTATCCGCACTTGTACTGATTTGGTAATAAATTCTGTAATTGATTCGGTAATAACTTGGTACGGGAACTTATTTTTGAATAAGTTATTTTTGAATTTCATCAAATCCAATAACAATTTTCAACCAGTTCTTTCGTATCTATCAATATTTATAAACTCAAAATTATTTCAGTTCAAAAAACGGTGTCTAACTTGCACAGAAAAATCATTTAATAAAAAAACACGTATGTACATCTATATCATAAACGTTTCAAATAATTTATCCGTAAACAAGAATTCCCGTTATTACCAGTGTCGGTAGAGTTATATACTCTCCACTCGCACACAGTTGAACTTTTACAGTAATTGAAAATTGAAATTGAGAAACTACGCCACTGTCAGTCTCCGTCAGCATAATTTCAGTGTCACAATTTCTCAGAATTTTCAATTTCTGTAAAACTTCAACTGTGTGAGAATGGAGAGTAGGTATGTACTCCGGTTGGTATACATGCACCCATACCCATATCTTTTCAAAAATTTAGTTTTCATCCAACAGTCAGTCATCCCGATGTCTGACTGAAGATTTTCATTCACATGCAGTCATTTTCTTTTAAATTCATTTCATTTCACTTCATCGGACTTCACTTCCCCATGTGTTAAGCATAGGGAGAAAAATGCAGAGTAAAAAATCCCTTCATTCACAATCACTTATCTGAAATGACGGAATCCTTCAGTCATTTTTACTCGAATGACAAGAAATTCATTCCCATTTACTATCATTCGCCATCATGATCACTCAAATGAATGAAGGTGAACAGGTATACATGCACCAGGCAGGTATTAGTGCACAATACAATTGCATAACTGGGTCAAAGTATTAAACATACATGTCTACTTTTTTTTCTCCGTAACTAATCAGCGATAAACATGATGTCCAAAACCTACTCCAAGCAACTTTGCGGGGCCTTTTAAGATGGCATTAATGCCATCTTGGTAGTTAATGACAACACATTTGGGTGGAAAAGACCCCCACCGGCCAACCACTTGACCGATCATGCCCATCTTCGAACTCATCCTTACTTTTGACCCAAAGTTCAAGTGTACAAAATTTCAAGTCGATAGAATGTGTTTAAAGAGAGTTATCGTGCGTACAGACAGACGGACGGACAGACAGACATCCTGACAAATCTATAAGGCCATCTTAAAAGGCCTAAAAACAAGTCTGGAGTCCAGACGTGTTTAATTCAGGGTCACAGGTTGCTAAACAGGTTGCGAATATTCGCAACCTGTACATTCGCGAATGTGCAGCAATGCACTATAGCTTAACCATGGCCATGGTTAACAATCCATAGATCAGGACACACCCCTCATTGAACACAACCTAACGCAATCTAATTGCCTTGGGAAATTTGCATAATACTCGAGTTACGAGCACGCGATTGTATACAATGCATGCATAAATAAAAATGAGTAGTGCAGTAATATTTAAGAACGAGTTCCAGAAAATTTTCCAGTCTGCAGCCTGGAAAAATGAAAGCTGCTAACCCTCAGTATATATTAAGTAGGTTCAGCCACTTTATGCACTGTTAAAAATGTGTGTAACTTAGTGCTGAGTTACTTGCCAGTATACACTGACAGGGGTATTGGTAATTCTGTACAGGGTAAAGTGGCAAACCTATCATCGGGTTGCCCCAATACTTACTCTGTTTAGTCTACTTTGCTTGGATTTAATCCAGAAAGAGTTAACAATGCATAACTTACCCGTGGCAGAGTTATGTGAGTTGGGCGGGAGGTTGGCTCTTACACCACAAAGGAGCGCATTTTCCACTCAATCGCCTTCCACCACGCTGCGAGTGTAATTCGGGCAGTGGAAAAATTTTCATTTCCTTGCCCCCGTTTTACCACCCCCACTCAGAAATGGCAACGCAAGAGGTGCGACGACTTCTGCAGCAGTGCGGATTAGAAGAGTACGCCAAAAAATTTGAGGGTAAATAGTTAATTTAAAGTTGCAAATTGTCGAAATTGTACAATAAATTTTATTCTCATAAATGTGATTGCAATTTTCCCTCTTATTTTCAGAAAACCATATTACCGATGATGAATTGCTGGAGTTATCGAAGGAAGATCTCGCAGACCTCATCCCCAGTATTGGACATCGCTCAAAACTCAGCAAGGCCATTGTTAAGCTAAAATCAGGGAGTATTTACGTATGTTTTAAATGTACAGATAAATTTAGAAATTTAAGGCTATTATCCCTACATTTAACAAAGTTTCATAAACTAAAGCTAGAGAGTGAATATAAATGCCCACATTGTAATGGTTCATTTGCACGCAGGGCTTATCTTGGTCACTTTGCGAATATTTTTAAACTTCATTCCCAACTTTTAAGTGGTGTATCACTTACTGATTGCCATACCGATTTGCTAAATCAAGAAGAGTTAGAGGAAAAAGATGACGAGTTTTTGTCCCCTCCTAAATTAGAAGACTTTTCTGGTCCTGAGTCAGTTATACATTTCGAATCATGCATTGCAAAATTATACGCTAGTATCTTAGAGTCTGGAAAGATCCCCATGGTTAGTTGTACCAAAATCATGTCCGTCGTGAAGGAAAGCATAGCAGAAGTAATTAAAATTAGCGAATTTCGTAACAGTTATAATGGAAATCCAACCAAGTACAGTCCGGTTAGGGATTTATTAGCCGTTTTTGACCAGTTTAGTTCAAGATACAAAATGGATAAGTATTTATTAAGTAGAAATTTCATGATTGAACCCAAAGAAATTGTCCTTGACACCGACATATCCTTTCAGTCTAGAAGTTTGGGGTCACGAAAGCAGGAATATAAGAATGTCACTATGCAATACATTTCTATTAAGAAATCCATTCAACAGTTGCTTCGAAAACCAGGATTTTTCTCAATTTTGCAAACTAATAGTAACTTTAACGGTGAAAATTTCTCTTGCTTCCGGGATGGAAAATTTGTAAGAGATTTTAATCAGCCCAGAGAAACAATATTTATCAATCTCTATTACGATGATGCAGAAGTAGCCAATCCTCTGGGTTCAAAAAGTGGAAAACACAAACTAGCAAACTTTTATTTCTCTATAATTGATCTTCCACAACACCTCCTTTCAAAATTAGACAATGTTATTCTTGTTGCATCACTTAAAACCGAGGACTTCAAATTATGTTCCCCAAATTCGGTTTTACGAGTAATTACTAATGAATTGAAGGAGGTTTGGGAGGAAGGAATATTGTTTGTACACAATGGTGAGCAAATTAATTTAAAAATTGCATTAGCTCAGGTATGTGGAGATAATTTAGGATTACATACTCTTTTAGGATTTTCCGAAGGTTTTAATGCAAATTATCCCTGTCGGCGTTGTAAAATGCATAAAAAAGAGTGCCAGAGTGTTTGTTTCGAATCAAAATCTAAACTCAGAACTGTAGCAAATTATTCGTTAGATGTGGAGATAAATAATCTCAGCGAAACAGGGTTGAATTTTTCTTCCATTCTGAATATTTTACCATATTTTCATGTTATTAACAATTTTGTCTTCGATATTATGCACGACTTATTTGAGGGGGTGGTGCCTGACTTATTTCATTCCGTTGTAAATTACTTGGTTTCAAAAAATAAGCTGTCGGTTGACAAATTGAATTATCGCCTAGAGTCATATGATTTTGGTCGCCATTACGGGAAAAGTAGGCCGTCACAAATTAAACCAACATTTATGAAGGGAGACACCAAATCTGGCCAAAATGCTTCGCAAAACATATGTATTGCTCTTTATCTTCCTATTTTACTTGGCGATTTGATCGACACTTCTGATAAAACTTGGTCACTATTCTTGTTATTAAACGAAATAGCCAGGATCCTCCTTGCAAATTTTATTTCATCTGGTGGGCTTGTTTTACTTGATTCTCTTATCGCTGAATTCCTGCACCAATATCAGGACATGATTCGAAAGCCATTGAAACCAAAACATCATCACATGTTGCACTATTCTTCCGCCATTAAGCAGATAGGACCCCTTCGTCAGTTTTGGAGCATGCCCTTCGAGGCGCGCCATAAGTTTTTCAAAACAACTGCACATGTCGTAGGCAATTTCAAAAATATTTCGAAATCATTGGCATATCGTTTTCAATTATCTCGTTGTTTTAAGCTGCTTTCTTTGGAAACATTTTCGCCACACTCATTTGCTTGCAATGATTACCAGTCAATAAATTTGGCAGACACGATAGAAAATGAATTATTACTGGGAAAATTTAGCAAATTGGCGACGGATCAGATAGTTGTGACGACTAAAATTACAAAAAATGGCTCTGATTTTGAGGTGGGTGGATATATCTTGTTAGAATATTACAGAGAAATGCCAATTTTTGGTCGCATTGACAGAATCATTTTGGACAATGACGATTGTCACTTTGTAGTTAAAAAGTTTAGTAGTGAGTATATTGCTCAATATGCTGGATACAAACTTTATGAATCCGGACTATCCATACTTATTGACTATAATGATGTAAAATATTTTCAATGCTTTTATTCTGCTATATCATTTAGCAATGACTCAGAGCATTTTATTATTCTGCCAATAATATATATTTAAACTTATTGTGGTAGTAAACAATAATTTATTGAGGGGATGTCCAAAAATTAAGATAATTTAACTATAAATGAACATAAGTTCATAACATAACGTAGGTTCACATAACTCCCATTTGCGCCATATGTAAAAATGGGATGTACATAATGCATCACGAGGGGAAGAAGGGTTTGAAAAGTCTGCATTTTTTCGTGAAATAATTTATGGGCGTTCCCTTCAAATTATTATGTAAGTTGTTAATAAATATATAATTTAGGATTCGCAGTCATCAGTTTTTAGCGGATCAATATTAGATGAAGCCGAAATAAGAGAACGGGGGTTAAACATTTCGCCAACATTGTTTAGCAAACCTGAGCGGAAACGTAACCCACCAAATTTTCAGCCAAGCAATTTATTTGTAAGTTAAATCCAGTCTTATTTCATTATCAAGAGCGCAAGGATATGATTTAATTGCGAAAGTTATTGGTTTGGTCTGTACTTAGGAAGACATATCACCAAATCACGAAGAATTGACAACCAGAGAGCCTATTATTAACGAGTCGTCGCAAGGAGAGATCATTAACCAAATCTCCGATCCAATTCCCATAGAGATTGATGGCTCATTTCTGCAATTACATAGTACCGATGAATTAGAATCTGGACCATTACACCAGGTGTGCCATCGGTTTGATTAAGGGAGCGTCCATAAATCACGTGATCGATTTTTGGACAATTTTGACCCCCTCCCCCCTTGGTGACCGGTGGTGATAATTTCGCTAACCCCCCCCCCCCACCGGTCACGTGACACGAGATGATGCTCAAATTAAATCATGTCCGGAATAACAATATTTTTTAAATCATTAATCAAATTAGAGCTACATTACACACATGTGTAAATAACTATTTAATACGCCAGTCAGACATAAGAATTTAGGTCGAAGCAAGTTTATAAATATGCAAAATGAAAATCAAATTTATATAACGTGCGTGTGGTATCATACCACACGCACGATATAAACTCTCATGACATTTATTGGCAAAAAAACTCATGTCACGTGACATCTGACCATCTACCCCCCCCCCCCGTGATAATTCGTGACAAATTTCAGACCCCCTCCCCCCCTCTAATCGATCACGTGATTTATGGACGCTCCCTAAGCACATTTTAATTTTTTAGATTAAAGTCAATAGAAAATTGATTAAATTACAGATTAACTTCTCGAACAACAAATCCAATGTCCTGAACGTTCCGACCATCCAGAAAAAATTTTATGGATTCGTAAATGATTATTTTTTGCTATTTATTTTAACAGCCTTAACAATAATTCATAGAAATTAACAGTAATTAATTTTGTAGAGCATCCAGTCCGTGCTTTTGGGAACCGAATCCACTAGAAGAATTTTAAATGAAAAAATTCCGGCCAAAAGGATGCTAATCCGGGAAGATAGGATTGCAGTGACTAATGCGTTGGTTGATGCTTTGATAGCAAATTTAGGAGTTAGGTAGGTACATACTAGTAAAAATGAACCCTCGTTTTAATTAATTTTGCTTATTTTATCCCTTTAAATTCGTTTGATTTCAGTCCAAGCAAAGAAGCTTTACATCAATTAGCATTGGATTTAGTGACTAGTTATCCAGAACTAGGAGATTCTAGGAAGAAGAATTTTGGATCTACAATGTGGTTCCAAAATATCACTCATGGTTCAGGATCACCAGGTTATTTAATGGAACGCATTAAAAACCAGCGCAAGAAATTGGAGTCACGTAAAAACACCGACTATCATGACGAGACAGATATTTTGTCCTCGTGCTGGGATTCTGAACTTGATGATGGTGAATAACTAATTGTAGTAAATAAATATTATTCGTGCATATACATTATTACAACAAATTATAGATAACCCTGAGCCGGACGAAAAAGTTTTAGAATTTTTACGACAGAATAAGGGTCAGGATGTTCTTCCTACTATGAAATCTTCCACATTTATGAGGCGAACTGTAATTCGCGAAGAAATGCAACAGAACTTGGTAGGGTTTCGAAGGATCCCGTCAATTTTACCACGCTTGTTTGATATTAAGGGAATGGTAAGAATTATGTTGTGTACATAATATGCTTAATGCTATTTATATAAAAACATAATCCTTTCCTATTGTTCAGATTGTTGAAGACTTCAATTCGAGACATCCAAGGCTTAGTCTTGTGATGTATGAGCGGTGGCCGAAAGCCTCGAAATTGCTCCTCACCTATGCAGAGGAAAGTGGCGTTGATTACCAAAAAAAATTGGATATTCGAAAGCCAAGGTGTGACTTAACTGGGGGTGAGTTAACAACATTATTTGCTCTTCAACTATAATTACAATTACCTAGCTAATATTCAATGATTTTTAGATGACATAGCATTGATTGCGTTCAGCCTCCTGCCACATATTCTCCCATCCTGTGCTCGTAAAATAAACCCTGCGCCCACTGGGGACAATAATATTAGTCAGTCGGACAGCGGTCCTAAGCCAAAGCGAGTTAAGAGATCAATAAAAGCAACAGATTTGGATGCTCGGAATAGCTTGATAATATTTAGATCTGTAAATTGAATGATTATATAAAAGTATTAAATTAAGGTAAAAATGACATGAAAGTAATAGCATTTCTTTATTGTTGCAGAAAAATACGCATGTCGCGGAAGTCCTGAGTGAGAATAAGAATGTTGCCCCCCTCATACTGGCTCTTGGTTCTACATACGATTTAAGGATTGAGTCTTACTTCGTAATTTTAGATAGGATGGCTATCCCTTGTGGGGATAGTTTCTTTGTAGCCTTAGATACATGCATTAAAAGCTTTAGTGTTTTCTACCTGCCCCCTCCGGTTGAAGCAAAAAATGTATGGTTATTTTTGTTACACGGTATAGCTGGAAAACCCTGCGATAACTCAACATTAACCCCGGTTGTGCAAGCTCTAATCGGCCAAATAATGCCCAGGTTGTAATTTTAACTAGTAAATTATATTTTATTAGTGAAATTTTTAATTGTTGCAATATTTTAAGCAATACTGTTCTTGTAGAATTTTAAAATTAATGAATAATTAATAAAATTCCATAAATAAATTATGTAAACAAAATTGAATGGATTTCAAATTATTTGCATATACCGCTCTCATAAAAAGAACACCGTACTGAGTAAGCAGTACTCCAATAAGGGTTACCGACTCACAGTGCCCTTGTGGAAGCGTTACTCCGCTGAAGGTAACGGTGTACTCAAACGGGGTAAAACGCGTAACTCTTTTGCATTTAAGCTCCCACGTACACCATAGAGAGTGCAAACACTATTAACTCTGCCACGGATAGTATTTTACTCCGTAGGGGTTTATTTATTCTTACAGTGTGGGATCACTTTGTCTCTCTGTCTGTCCGTCCGTCTGTCTGTCAGGAGGATAACGAGAGAAAGAATCGAGATAATCGAAATCTGTTTATGGAATCACACATACACCCACAGGAGAAGGATCCTATTTCATTTAAGGTCAATCGGACCACCCCCCTCGCATCCAGGGGGTGTGGTATGGGGGCAAGATGAGATTTTTACGGAAATTGAATCTATAGATGAAACACAATCAAATTAAGTGCTCATACGATGGTAAAATTAGATTGGGTATACAACTTAGGTTGTGCCTTTGCTACGGTTTATTTTGGATCCTAATTTCCAAACACATTTCACACAATTAACAAATTATGCAACATTCTGACGTAAATGATAGTGCCCAGCTGGGCTAAAGAAGATCCAGCGAGGAACTAATCAAATAATAATAAATAAGTTATTAGGAAATAAATCGTGCCAAATTGCCAATTAAGGTTTGCAAATATCTTTACAAGAATAATAAATTTTCGTGAAAAATTTACTATAAATTTCGTGTTCTTTCCGAAACCTAAAACGTCCATCTGTCAACATTATTAGGTTAGGTAATTATCTAATTTAATTTAAGATGTCGCGCAACCGGTACAATTTGTATACTTATGAAATCGTATCATAAAAAAATTTCAGATTTGCAATCATAAATCGAATCTACTTTTCCTCCGTCGTGACACTTAAAATAAAAAATGACACAAAATTGCGCACAGAAACTACGTTTCGTAGGGATTCCAAATCCGGAATAATTTTTCAAATCCGGTTTTCGAATTATCCGCTCAGCGCATATCTATTTATCGTTTTTTTTATTTTATTCAATTCCTTACAAGTAAATCTTTATTAAGCAGTCAACGAACATCGATTAAGACAATTTTGTTTCTAATTTTAAAATTTAATGCCGTTATTAACCATTTTTTCTTAAATTGTCTATTACTTAATTGGTTAATCTAATTTTTTTGTCACTTTTAGTGATCAATCACTAAAATCATCAAAACAACACTTTTTAATTTTAAAATCAAATTTGTATGTACGTCATTTATGATTTTACTCCAACTTAAGGACCGTTCATAAATTACGTAATTCAAAAATCGCGAGTTTTTAGACCCTCCTCTTTAAGATGTGTGACATAAGCACGATTTCCTTAGAGCCTTAAACCCCCCCCCCCTCCTTCTCGTGTTACGTAATTTATGAATGATAAATTATGATCTGACGAAAGTATATGCACCGAAAGCCTGAAAAAATGATACTTGACAAATTGAAGACGTATTTGTTTCGCCATATTATGCAATATCAAACTGCTTTCTTTGAACTTTTGACAATTTTTGAACTTGGGAATATACTTAAGTTTCACGGACATGATGAGGCATCTTGGATACGATTATGCAAAAAAAATTGTCAAAATCAGAACAAAATTAGAATTTTGAGAAGTGTTTAAACAGGCAAAATAATTTTATGCTCCTCGCCCCGCCTCCCACGCATCTCACTTCTCCATCCCAACAAAAGCCTAAATTCTGGCGTAAACCGAAAAATGCTAACGCATTTTTCTGTTAAACCGTCCATCGTAGGTTTTTCCACGTTTGGGTCCCACGAAAATTGGAATTTCTGACAGAGGGAGACGAGCAGCAGAAAAAATTCGTTTCGCGCGAACGTTTGCCCTAAGCAAGTTCTAAGGCCGACGGAAAACGGGAGAAATGGTGGGGCATTAGGAGACCGGGTTTCATCCAAGAATCTATCCGGATTAAATATTTCCGGTTCCGGATATAGGTTTGGGTCGTGATGAATTCCGTATAAATTGGCAATGATTGTGGTTCCTTTTGGGATAAAGTAGGTCTCAAAGGTGACATCTTCCGTGGTCATTTGGAAATTTGAGAAGGGAGAAGTACTCGAAATTCGGAGCACTTCTTGCATCACGGATTTCGTGTAGGGCATCCTGAAATTACAGTGCGAATCAATTAGTTAAAATGTTTGATAGTCATACTTATCCTTAGAGTTAGGGAACGTCCATATAATACGTCATCAAAATGGTGGGTGGGTGGTTCTTGGTCGGCTATCTTACTCTTGATAAGGTTAGCATTAGTAAGATAAAGAATGATAAGGGGGTATTTGGGTTGCCGAATATTTCGTTTTTCTGGGAATTTATATAATTTAATCTGGGAATTTTTTTTCTAAGAGTTGATGTGGTGTAGGAACTTTAACTTAAAGATATTGAGTAAGAGTACGATGAGATGAAAAATTCATATTATTAATGGCGTGTCTACTCTGTACCTTAGTGAACTGTCAATATTTTAAGCGACTTACTTTTCCAAATCTCCTAGCGAAGGAGACCTATCTGATCCAATAACATTCAGAATTTCGTTCCCTAATTTATCTTGAACTTCGGGGTAAAGAGAAAGATATAGAAGCGCCCAATTCAAAGTATTCGTCACCGCTTCGGCCGCAGTTACGAACAGGTTTAGAATCATTCCTCGCATGTGTTTATCTATTTTTTGAGTGGGACAATAAAACTTGTTTATTTTAAAATTGAATTTTTCGCTTGCACTGTATTGTTACCTCCTTTATTTTTGTAAAAATGAGAACCCGGGTCCATTTCTGCAGATTGGATTTCTTTTAAAAATGCCGCCATGAGATTATCGCCCAGAGATATTTGTCATGTTTCATGGCTTGTTGTTTTACTTCATTTTGCAAACTTGGAAGGGCGTTTTTTTAATTGGGTTAATCCCGTTTTGCCCGGGAGTAAATTTGTCACCCAGGGTAGAAACCATATAGCACTTCCGATCGGTTGCCATAGCGATCTAAAAAATTATAGTGGAATTTTTATGTCGGGATACCTCCATATGTTACATCATCAGAAAGGTGGGTGGGTGGTTTTGATTGGCCTATCTTACATGTGTTAAGCTTAACATTAGTAGGATAGGGAAGGGAAGGGTGGTCTAAAAATCGGTATTTTTTAGTAACGCAATTTATGGACGTTCCCTATTAGGAACTTTAACGCCTGGGATCATATTATGGTCTGTGCATTAAAATTAGACACTTTTTTGCGTGTTTCTCTGATTTAAAAAAGGTTCTAATTATAAAATACGAACCATAAAATATGCACTAGAACATCAATTTAAATGATGAGAAATAAATAAGGTAGACCATTAATGCCCACGCCATAAAGGGGATTGATGAACAAAGAATTCTTACTTATGCAAGGATGCTAAAGCGTCACGAAAATATGGTTTGTCTCGAATTTCTTCTCCCGTTAAGATGAACCAGAGATGATTTGTAGCCGGGATGTAAAACTTGTCCTTAAAATCTAGACTTTTTCCGACACCTTTTGAAAGTGATGTGACCAATTCTTCAATATCAGAGAGAATCAAAGATTCCGTAGATTTCTTTCCGAATCCGAGCGAGTTGAGATTTTTCATGGTAAAACGTCGAATAGTGTCCCACGGATCTCCGTCCGAAGTTAGAGTTCCTATACCGCAGGCATTTAAAATATTTTTATTAATAGAGAGCTGGAGATTTCTTGTCGTTCGACTGTAGACTGTAGATGATGACGTCATCTGATTTTTTACTATTTCTACTATCTAGCCAAATTGAAGAGGAGTAAAGTTTAAGTAAACTGACAGGAAATCTCTACCTCTTTATTTAATTACTTTATTTATTAATTTTGCATTAATAATTGGTTGATTATTTTTTGATCCATCAATGAATTTTGAAAAAAAATCAATTCAATTTTTGCAAAATAATCTATTGATATTATTAGGTATATAGTTTTACCAATATTTACCATGGTTTTCTCCCCCTGTAAATAAGTATGCGGCTTTAAATTCAGGACGACCATTAAACGCAGGATTCGAAAATGCCGCTTTAATCAAGCCATAATCATTTAGTTGGACGACGCTGTGATGTAGAAATTAAGACATTATTCAAAAATTTTAAATATTCAAACCTATAGAAAGTGAAAATTTTAGACATTACACTTTTAGAATTTAAAAAAAAATTGCTACCGAAAATCCCCTAAACGAATGCCAACGATGTTTCCAAATTTTTACTTCCAGGTTGTCATCGATTTTAAGGGGGATTTTCGAAATTGGAGTAAATTTCCGAAAATCAATAATTGTGAGGGACCTAAGTTTTAAAGGAATAATTTCAGAATTGGTAACTTTATACTAATTAAACTTTTTTGGTAAGTAAAAAATTTAAAAATACCTGGCGGGAACCCTCTCGGTTTGAAGTAATCTTTTGATCGTTTCCACAAAACGAAGGACAGGGAAAGTAAAACAAGTCCAAAATAAAAGAAGATCATCATTTTGAAAACTAGTACGTAATCCCGGTTAATTTAAAATAACTGGTATCCCGAAATTCAACTTGCGCCAGCTATAAAAATGATTGATAATTAGTTCGCAATATCACTTTAAGCGGGACTTAATTTAATTTTTAATAATTTCAGTGTTGGATATGACATATTTTTCAAGTATAATTTTATCCTAAAGCCCTACAGTCTTGAAACTTTTAATTCTTTAATTAGGGCCTCAATTCGTCGATATTTGCTACATCGCACCAATAAATTCACTTTCTCGAGTGAGGTATTATTCAAGGCGGAAATTCATTCCAAAGAAAAGTCGTACAAAAAAATGGATATTTCTCGAAATTCTGAGAATTATTCAACGTCTAATTTTATTTCTGGAAATTTCGAGTTATAATTTTTCTCTAGATTTGTACGTATAATTTATTTACGTAACGTTTCTCAGAAATTTCTCAATTTCAGTTTACAAATTTGAGCATAAAAATAATGTAAGTCCAAGGAAATTACTATTTCGTCTTTTTCGATTAATCTATTAATTTGCATTTGTTTTATAAAATTCAATAATTTTTCGAAAATACTACTCCCTATTTATTAATTAGAGTTTGATTGCATACTAAAATTTTATTTTATTTCAAAATGTACAAGTTTAGCACGTTCCCAGAAAAAAATGTTACTCTGAATCCTGTCTATTTTTATTATATTATCAAAATTAAGTAGACATGTACCGATAAGATTGTCGAAAGCAGACTAAATTGATTCCAAAATTGCCTAACCTAGCTCAACCTTGTTTGTCCTTCAAATCGAATTTTTGAGTTAAGAACTTGTCATCAAAGTATCTCACCAGCAATTAAGGATTTTTCCTTAGTGGTAACATGTATAATTAATTTGCATTATTAAATTGTTATATAACTAGCAAAAAGTACGTAAAGCTACTTTTTGATATTGATTTGTCCGTCCGTCCGTCCGTCTGTCCATCAGCACTTTACACAACTTCCGGATGAGTACATTTTTTAGTTCTGTTTCCGGATATCGACATGTAATTTTAAAAGTAAGAAATTTATTAACTGACCTTGAAAAAAAATTCACAATTTTCAAAAGGTCAAGTGGCCAAGTGGTAATAAGGTTAAGGTCAAAAATATCTATTTTTATATAAATGTACAGTCCTAGCTATGTATATTCAATACAGAATTTTCAGATATTTGCTGGGAGTTGGTTACCTGACCTTGCAGGTCAAAAGGTCATGCCGCCTAAGAAATGTCGAATTTTTTGTTTCGATCATTTTAAGCAATTTTATTGCATACAGAATTTTCTGATATTCGCTACTCCGTTATATCTGTTGCTAGAGTTTACCTCCACGTGCACCAGGTACTTTTTAGCATACAATTATGTAAACGTATGTATAACTGGGGTCGTAGTACCTCTGTACCATGTTATTAAGAAAATGCAAGAAAAATGAGCGATAAACAGTATATCCAGCGCAATTTAACTTGTCTGCACTGCGAAAAATATCGTCACCAGATTTACACCGCGCGGTGTCTATATATGGCTACACCGCTTTGGTGTAAAATCAACATGGTTGGTGTAAAAAAGTTTTGACACCAAAACGGTGACAATTCAGCACCGCTCCACACCTGTATTGCTACCAGTTGGGTGATATTGCGTGGTGTTGATTTTTCACTAACTGGTGACATTTTCTGTGCAAATTTGGTGTCATTGAAATAAAATCACATTAAATTACATATTTTACTTCATATATTTGTTTAATATATGAACATTTTCATAAATTTAAATACAATTTATTATTGGCATACAAATTAATTATAAATGATAACTTAAAATAACATACATACCGTCCAATTTACAATTAGTTTGTATTTCCACGGCGTCTTGAATTACTAAACTACTTATATTAATTGAGGTAGATTCCTATGTGGTAAATCTTCGAAACTTTGGCGATCCTGGTCGAAACTTTTGTTGACCGTGGCCCCCTGTCACAGCCGATGCAAGTCGTTTTCCCCTGAACGAGAGTTCCTCATTTTTTCCTTTCAAGTTCCGGTGAATCAAGCGAAGCCTTGCCTGAATCAGGCCGGAGCGATTAGTGTCATCGTAGAGTAAATCCTGCGACGAATACAAACTGATTACTTTGATTCTAAAAAACAGACATTTACAAAATTTCTTACGATTCCTTGAGTACTCGACGGGAATCTCCAACACGGCAATATTTCCGCAAATGCTGAAGCAAGAAGTTTCTGGTCTGTTATAGGCAGAGTCTCGCTGAAATTAAAACAAAATGTTAATTATGTAGGTAATTAAGTAATATATTAACTGGGTTTTATGAAGAGAAATCTGTTTTATAAATTAACCCTTTATACTGAACAAGTTTTGCAACAAATTCCTGAATTAAGTAGGAAGAAGAACTGGAATCCACGGAACCATTTTTGTTGCAATCGGCAACGACGGCAGAAAGTTGTTGATTTTCTAGAAAATTGTTCAGCACGTAGTAAAAGAAATCAATTAATTTTTAAAATACTCTTAATTATGCTTCGTCGCTCACCTGTTGGAATAAATTGCCGTCCTGTTCACTATGGCAAATTGAAGTCGAGGTTGAGCTAACATCTAGGGAAAAGGGAAATATTAAACAACTAAAAATTGATGTAAAAGCTGTCTTTGACTTTTGTATTATGTACTTACAAGATAGCGTTTGCTGTCCTGCAGGTGAAGTAATGACTTCAAAGGTTGTCGCGCCTGTGTCTTCTCCTTTCGCATACAAGATAAGATTGGGGGTGGTGGCCTGTTGGAGAAGAATTGGCAGGACTTCTTCATCCTCCTCAGCGCCTTCTTCGTCTTGAAGGGGTAATTCCGCTTCCTCCGGCAGCAAGAACTTTGTCCTCACTACAAAATAAATAATTTGTTGGAACACTAAAAAGTCGACAAATTACTACATAATTCAAAGAAAAGTTATTGATAAATCGACTTACCCAGATTCATAAAATCGTGATAACCAGTAGTTTCACAGACAATTAATTTTTCACCTATCCCACCATTAAAAATTCTAACTAATTTCGTCATGCTGATAGTTTAGTTGGTGATGGCAGGAGAAATGATGGCAGTCTCGGAAGCACGGGGGAGTAAAATAAAAACGTTGTATATTATCAACAAAACGGTGATGAATTTACACCACCAGTGAAATTATTTACACCGTTTCTTGGTAAGTCGGTGCAACCACAGCTTGGTGTAATTCTATCCCCGCGGGGTGGTGAGCATTGGGGTGAGATGCTACCAGATTGGGGATAATCATTCTCACCAAGAGTTCGGTGTAAATTTATCTGTAGTTTTTACACCAGATTTTTTGCAGTGTGGACAGGTTGGGTAGGGATGCATAGGTCAATGATGGTCATGGCTAACTAGATACACACATAGTTCAGAACACGCCCCTCATTGAACGACACAATCACAACCTAACCTAACATTTTTACCTTGGGAAATTTCCATGTTACTATTGTTGGCGGCGAGTGGCGAGTGAGTTTACTGAGAACGGATCGGGGCTGAAGCAGGAAAATTTTGATGAAAAATTTAAACTATTTTATAAAATCACTTAAGGGGAGAGAAACAACTAGGACACAAATATCTCAAAATGACCTGGAATTTTATGTGCGGGTCACCTCATTTGTGTAAGTCTCACCATGCCCCTTTCCCCGATACGGGATTTCCATGTTGAATAACCTTCGTCGAAATATGCAATTGAGGTGACTGTAGCTAAAAACAAGCGGCTTTGTTGAGAAATAACTGGAAAATCAGATTGTTTCAAAACCTAATACATGAGACACAGGCTCAGTTTACTCCCAAAAAGCCTACCCCGACTGCCCGCAAAACCCAACTGGGTAAAACCCCTGGGTATGGGTTTTCAACAGCATAACCCAAAGGTTTTCCTTACCCTGCTCGAATGAGTGTGAGACAACTTTCAAAATTTGTAAAAAATTCGCACATTTTGGCGCAGGTCTCGGAAACCACCAATCGACCAGCCCAATTTTATTACGGATTATTGATCTACTCAATTTTACGCAAATTTTAAGGTATCTACTTGAAAATCGTTAGAGCGCGAAAAAACATTATTTCATTGTATATATCTATCTTAACACTATAGTTGTTAAAGCGAAAATAAACTAGATACTAGTTAGTTCTAGTTTAAAACTGAAAATTAAATGAAAAATCAAAGTTTTCATACCCTAGCCCAACTTTATCTGTCCTAGGAATGAAAATTTAAGAACTTGACCAGAACGAGCTTCACTCGCAATTGAAACTTTTTACTTAATGATAACCAATTTAAATAAATCTACATACGTGTAAAAGGACCTACTTATTATTGCCATCGATATGTCCGATCTGTCCGTCCGTCAGTCTGTCCGTCAGCAAGATAAGTTTAAAAATAATTAGTAGTTTTCAGTTCTGCTTTCGGATATCGACATCTAATTATAAAAGTGAATAGGAGTTCGTTAACTGAACACTTGCAGGTCAAAATGCCAGGGTCAAATGTCAAGGTAGCATACATTCCCAGAATTTTCAAATATTTTTGAAAATTTCAGAAAAAAGTTAGATTTTTTAAAATATTTTCATTTATGAAATTATTGCAATAATTTTATCCCGTAATTTTATCCCAGAGGAAGAGGGTAGTTGAACCCTGAGAGCTTATTAATAAATAAATGACGTCAAGATATCATTCATCCGATCTGTTAATTCTACCTTAAATTTCCATTCCGCTACTTTATTAGATTTATTGCTAGAGCTTATCTCGACTTGCATAAGATACGTTCCTTGAGGCTATTTTTAAATTACGCAACGGACGTACAGGATAAGGAAAAATCGTATCTTGTTAGGATTAACCAGCGCTATAATTTAAGGGTAGGGTCCATTATCATGTAACTCGAACTACCTCTGTCCTCTTGCATCTCCACGAAGGTCTGGATGTCCAGCCCAATTAAACTTAAAGCTATTGCACAATACAAATCTATGTGGGACGGAAAATTTCCCGCTCTGTAGGCTCAAAGCATGCACATGGAAGCCAAAGTTGGTAATTCTTCGTCCCACAGAGATTTTTACTCGGGAATAGACAGGTTGCGGAAAGGCATGAAATGCATTTACAGGTTAATTCAATGGGCTGTAAAAATATTAACCGCTTTCGTCCTATTTGTACTAATTTTTTAACAAAATCTCCCTTCAGTTCAGTAGTCCATTTCATAATAACACTTGATAGCAACCAATACAAATTTCAAGAAAGTTTCAAATTTTTGAGTTCTTTGACGAAAACCACGAAAAATCCACTTTTTAACATTAGTCGGTATAAGGAAAATTCCAAGGAAAAAAATGCAATTTTCATGATTTAGTTTTCCACAAAATAAGAAATGTTCTTATTTCTGAGAAATTTTGGTGTCAAGGTAATTTATTGGTAGGCAACAGTTCGTTACCACCGTAAAAGAAAGTAGAAATTCACAGAAAAAGGCCACAGACAAATATCAGTAAAAAAGTCCCTATAATGTTACTAATTGCCCTAGTAGCTCAGAGGTCAGAGCACTTGACATGAATTCAAGGGAGCCGTGGTTCGATTCCCGGCTGGGTAACAATTTTTGGCATTATTCGGGATTTACGTATTTGATTTCTAAATAAATTTGGTTTCCACAAGGATAGAAGTAGTGTTAAAATCAAAACAAATTCCTAGTTCGGAATAAAAAAAGAACTTTCCATCGTAGGCCAAAAGTGAACTTTCTTTGGTAGGCAACAGTTCGTTACCACCGTAAAAGAAAGTAGAAATTCACAGAAAAAGGCCACAGACAAATATCAGTAAAAAAGTCCCTATAATGTTACTAATTGCCCTAGTAGCTCAGAGGTCAGAGCACTTGACATGAATTCAAGGGAGCCGTGGTTCGATTCCCGGCTGGGTAACAATTTTTGGCATTATTCGGGATTTACGTATTTGATTTCTAAAGGTAATTTATGAAGTAGACAAATACAAATATGTGTACTTGGTTGGTAGTCAATGGAAGTACTTTATCCACACAAATGTGCGTAGTTTGGTAGCCAAGAGGTTAATATGCAGTATCTACAGGTTAATTATGGGTATCTAGATCACGACACACCTCGCAATCTAACTTAATATCTCTGAAAAGTTTTCGTAATTATAGTTGCACCGGTGTGCGGTCGTGCTTCTCGCGATAACTCAGGTGGTGCTAATAGTTGTAAATTATTGCACTGGGTTGACCAAACATTTATCATAACAAAATTACGGTATTTATTCAACTGACACTATTAAACCGGAGAGGAATGATGTGTACAGTACAAGAGATTCTATACGAATATACGTGCTTACTCGCACACGGACAAAAGCTTACTTACTAAAAAACTGCGGGCTCGAACTGCCCAAAGACAAAGAAAGAATGTTCTAAAAATAGAATCGAACATTCGAGAACAAATTCATAAAATCCGCTAAACATTCTCACATTACACTGCATACTAAAAACTTGCATGAAAATCGACATAAAATAATTTCACATACATACATACTTAATATTTTCATGAAAATTAAAACTATAAAAAATGATTATTAATGACTCGACGGAACATGGACCCCTCCGAAAAGCGTCCTAGTCTTTTCCAAAATCGGTGAGGTCGAGTCGACAAATTTTCACTACAGGTCGTCTGTATTCTTTGCCGGCAATCTTGACGGTAACTGCCCGGACTTGTCCATCTTCGCCGGGATGCGCCTTGATGATTCTTCCAAGTGGTCAACGATTTCGAGGTAATTGGTCGTCTACTACGATGACGACTTCTCCCACTTGGTCAGGGTTCTTCTGTTCATGCCACTTCTTCCGGTTGACTTTTGCTGGTAGGCACTCTTGAATCCAACGATCCCAAAAATGTTGTACTAGAATCTGGGCATGCTTACACTTTTCCTTCGAGTAGTGGTCGGTTTCGATAAATTTTCCTGGGGTTTCAACATTTCCACTTCCAGGGCGTAATAAGTCATTTGCGGTGAGACTTCTGGGGTCGTCCGCGTCGGTGGACACATGACTGAGAGGGCTGCTGTTGACAATATCTGCTGCCTCTTTTACATAGACTTCAAATACTTCATCGGTGGGTTTTCGACATCTTAAGGAGTTTTTGAGGACGGTCTTGACCATCCGTTCCCAGTTTCCTCCCATGTGAGGTGACTGAGGTGGGATGAATTTCCACTCGACTCCTTTTGGTAATAAAAATTCTTCAATTTGTTGGTGTTTCCATTCAACAATCGCTTTCTTGAGTTCGCCATCTGCTCCCCGGAAGTTTGTCCCGTTGTCAGACAAAATACAGCGGGGTTGTCCTCGAATGGACATAAATTTTCTCAACGCGTTGATGGCTTCATCGGTGTCAATTCTTCGTGCGATTTCCACATGAATGGCACGAGACGTCATACATACAAAGAGGGCGACCCATCGTTTCTGGACGCTCCTTCCAACGATAACTTCTACTGGACCAAAGTAATCGAGTCCAGTGTAGGTAAATGGGGCTTCGTAAGCTGCAACTCGACAAGGTGGTAATGCTCCCATTTCCGGAAATGACGGTTTGGCTCGGTTCAATTTGCAGCGGTTGCACCGAATCCACGATTTCTTGACGGCAGATCTCATTCCTAAAATCCAGTATCTCCGTCTAAGGTCGTTAAACACTGCTTCTTGACCTTGGTGTTGGTGGGCGCGGTGGTAATAGTCAATCATCCTTATAACGAACGGATGCTTATCGTCAAGAATAACGGGTTGTTTAGTGTCCCATCCAATACACAAGGCTTGGTCAATTCTTCCTCTCAATCTGATGATTCCATCTTCATCCATGATTGGACTTAATCTGAGTAGTCGACTGTGGTTGGCTTGTTTTGATTTCCATAAATCCACATTATCTTGCAGGAGTTGGACTTCAGTGGGAAATGAATCCTTTTGACATTTCCTCCACCATATCTTCTCGGCGGCTGCAAGTTCGGTAGGGGTGACGGCTTGTCGATATTTTACTGAGGTCGCTGGATTCTTGACTCGTTCGATGAATCGCAGCATGTAAGCCGTAATACGTAGCAATTTCATAAAATTGAATCGGTCTGAATTCGGTAGGTAGGTGTCACTTTCTCTCACCAATCCTAGAAATCCTGTCTTCACTTCGATATCTTCCGATTCGTCTTCGTCTCGGTTGAGTGGTCCACTTCCTTCCGCTGGCCAGGTTTCTTTCTCTTGACATAGAAACTCAGGTCCGCGGAACCATCTGGCGTTAGAAGTGAGATCACTTGGCGTATTTCTGGTGGCGTCGTCTGCCACATTCTCCAGAGTAGGTACCCATTTCCAATCTGACCCCTCCGTTGATTCCAAAATTTCGCCCACGCGATGTGCGACGAATTGCTTATAGCGACGAGTGTCGACTGCTCTTATCCAACACAGAACGGTTTTGTTGTCGCTCCAATAGACGGTTCGTTTAGTTTCAAATTCTAATTCTTTCTTCACGGTGAATCCGAGTCGTGTCCCCATTACGGCTGCCATAAGCTCCATCCGCGGGATCGATATACTTTTCAGGGGGGCTACTCTTGATTTGGCCATCACTAGACTCGTCTCGATTGTCCGTCCATTGTCGATACGGAAATAAGCTGCTGCGGCGTAGGCTAGTTCACTAGCGTCGCAAAAGACGTGCAGCTCAACTTCACTTTCTTCACAGTTGAAAGTGGCGTAACATCGTGGAATCTTCAAATTCTTTATTGATTCCAATTCTTGAATCCAAATTTTCCAATTGTCCAGGCATTCACCTGTTATTTCGTCATCCCACCCGTAACCGGATCTCCACACTGCTTGTAACAACATCTTTCCTTTTACAGTGTAATGAGCGATGAGTCCGATCGGGTCGAAAATTGACATTACGACTCCAAGAATCTGTCGTTTTGTCGGGTGCGTTTCACCATTGATCACTTGACTTTGCATTTTCTTAAAATTGATGGGAAATGACCAACAATCTTCAGTTGTATCCCAATGGAGGCCCAAAACTCGTTCGACTTTGTTCCCAGCATCACTATCAAAATTCTTCATCCTTTCGCCACGATGCTCTTCTGGGATGAGTTTGATGAGCTCCTCGCTGTTTGAGACCCATCCAGTGATCTCAAAACCTCCTCGTCGGTGTACTTCGGTGACACCTTGAATTATTTGGATCGCATCCTTCACGGTACTTTTCGAATCCAAATAATCGTCCATATAATGTTTCGTTTTAATGGCTACTGCTGCTTCCGGATATTCCTCCCGGTGGGCGTCAGCATTTTTGTGGGTCACAAATATCGTCGAGGTGGGTGACGAGGTCCCTCCAAATATTAACACTTCCATTTGGTAGATATCGGGTTTCTTCTCTCGGTCCCATCCTCTCCACAAAAATCGTTGAGATGCCAAATCTTCTTTTCTGACTCGTACTTGATGGAACATATCACGAATGTCGCCAGAGAATCCAATCTGATTTTGGCGAAATTTGATGATTACTGACGCCAAAGAATTCAGTAAATCTGGACCAGTCAGTAAATAATCGTTCAGCGATTTTCCATGAATCTTCGCTGTGGCGTCGAAAACTAGTCGATATTTTCCAGGTTTATGGGGCTTGTCGATGACGAAATGCGGCAAGTACCACGCCTTCGGTTCGTTGTTGTTGACTTCACAAGGGTCGAGTTTTCTTGCATAACCCTTCATAATGTATTCATTTATTTTCTCCACATGAGCAGATCCAGCAGCACGATTTCGATCCATTTTCTTTTCAGCACAAGATAATCTGCTTTCTGCCATGGGTTTGCTGTTGACGAGTGATGGATCTTCATCTTTGTAAAGATGTCCAATCTCGTACCGATCTTGACCAGGGATGAGATTCACAGTCTTCTCTAAAATCTCCTGGGCACGTTCATCTTCTTTTTTCTGAGGTTGACAGTCGGGAACTTTCACTCCGAAAGCTTCGACAGAGAAATAATTTTTCACAATATTGTGCAGGTCGTCCATGTCGTCACGGTTGCACAAATGCATCACATTTCCTTTCGTTTCTCTGCCCGACATTATTCCATGTATGGCCCAGCCCAGCAGGGTCCGATGAGCCACCGCGTTGAGCCACACCTTTGACACTTCTCTGTGGGACGATCAGCTTCGTATTGTTAACTCCAATTAACAATCGAGGTTGCACGTTAACCATGTCTTCAATTGGCACTTGATTCAGATACGGAAATTTACTTTTCAGTTCCTCTGCGATGACAGTTTGACTGGAGCAATGGAAATCTTGCACGGTCTGAACATCCTTCATTTCGAACCATTTGGCGTATGGGAACACTCCTTGAATCTCCATCGTCAGTGTTTGAGATTGATCTTCCATGTGTGAATGCGATCCAATCCACTGGAGACACAACTCGGTTTTGCGACCGCTACTTCCAATTTGCTTTGCCAAATCTGAGTCAATCAAAGTTAGGGTGCTGCCGTTGTCGAGTAAGGCATGCGTGGATACCACACCCTTCGGTCCTTTGATTTTAACCGGTACGATCATTAATATCATATCGCTGGTCTTTCCCCGAACATGATGGGCTGATCCAGCAGTTTGACCTTGACCTGCATTCATCGATGATGATGATGGACCGTCTGTCGCTGGTGGAGGCGTTCCTCTCTCCTCACGACTTCTTGGTGGACGATGGAGAAGTGGGTGGTGGTCGAAATTGCATCCATCCACGCCACACGATTTCTTTCGTTTACATTTCTCTTTGGAGAGACCTTTAGATAAGCACTTGAAGCAGGCTCTCCAGCTTTTCACATTTTCCCATCGTTGATCCACACTAAGTTCCATAAATTTCTTGCACTCATTGGTCCAATGATTCTTCTTACATTCGTTGCAGATCTTCGTAATTTCTTTCTTGGACTCGGGGTCGGTGGCATTGTAAACCGCTTCTTTCTTTCGTGGTTGTTGTTCCGCCCACTTGTCCTTCTTCTCATCGGTAAGTCTGGGTGGTGTCATCAGCGTCGCTACTTTGGCCTTGAACTTGACCCACTCAGTGAAGTTCTCGAGACTTCCAACTTTTGCAGATTCCAACAGTTTCTCTTTCCACTGTGCCCGTAGTGAGGCTGGCAGTTTCTCCTCCAAATCCGACAATAACAATGGATTTTGGAGGTGGTGTACTTCACCAAGAGATTTGATAGTCGCTGTTAAATTCATGACAGCCGATCCAAATTCCACCATGGTTTTTGGCTTATCCTCCTTCACGGGCTGGATTTGTCTTGCCTTCGCGACCATGACTCGAATAATGTGCTCCTTTTGCCCAAATCGTTGTTCCAAAACTTCGATTACTTCAGGTAAACTTTTTGGTGACACTAAGAGTCACTCGACACTTTTAAGGGCTTCTCCCTTTAAACACTTTCGCAGTCTTTCTAAATTTTCTGCATCGTTAAATTCACATGCATCCGTCGTTCTGTTGTAGGATGCGATGAAGGCTGGCCAATCCTCCGCTCTTCCTCCGAAGTAGGGAAGATTACGACCAATCGTTTGTCGAATAATCATCTTGTCAGTAGAACTGGAGGTGGTTGACTTTTCACTCAATTTCTCCAGCGTCTTCGCAATCATCTCCAGAACGTTGTCGCTCGTTTCGGTTGTCTTTACTTGTTCTGGTAGATGGTCTGGTTCCGTTAACTTGAACCTTTCGAAACGTTTGGCGGCAGCATCAAGTTCCTTGTCGACATCTTCATCGGAACCGAGATATTGTTCATCATCGTCGTCGATGGCGGCAATGGTGGCTTGATGTTGTTTCTTGAACACTTTGACATTGTTTTCAATTCGTTGCACTGTTCTCTTGGTTTTAACTTTCAAGAGATTATGTTGAGACGTGATGTGGGATAATTCATCATTTAATAGAGCAATTTCCCTTTTCAGATTTACGATTGTTCGGCTCGTGGAGTGGGTGACTGGAGTCCAACCTTGCAGTCTTGGTGGCGATTTCCCCTTGAAGACTGATTAACTTCACTTCGGACAATTCCAATTCCTGCTCCAATTCGGATACTTCGTTTTCAGCAGCAATCATCTTCTGCTCAAGTTCCGCTTCTGCTTCAGCACGGCGCCTCGTTGACGACGACGACGTGTACGGCGTAGGTGAGGGAGGCTTCTCCTTCTGACGGAATGGGGCGTAGGAGAGCATCTTTCCCAAAAACGATTGATTGGCGGTGGGATCAGGTGGGCTGGTCGACGGTCGAACTGTTTCTTCTTCGTCGGTGTGACCGTCGTCTTCCAAATCCTCCTGTCGTCCGTCACGATGACCTTTAGATGACCCCGGGCAGGGATCGTAGCGTTTAGGTGGCCCACGTTCACGATTTCCTTTTCTTGGTGGGTCCTGTCCGCTCATGATGATGGATACCAAAAATAAATCCAACAAACAAACGAAAATTCAAATGACAATTCAAAATTAATTCCCCTTGGAACGTAACGACCTCAAAGTGCCTCAATAAGCTGAGGCAAACTGTAAATACGGTTTTGTCCTCCTGGACGGGTCGATAATCGTTCGTCCTCCAAGGTCCGGCCGTTTCCTCCTTAGAACTGATCCGGGTCGATAACGAGACCAAAAATGTGCGGTCGTGCTTCTCGCGATAACTCAGGTGGTAGTGCTAATAGTTGTAAATTATTGCACTGGGTTGACCAAACATTTATCATAACAAAATTACGGTATTTATTCAACTGACACTATTAAACCGGAGAGGAATGATGTGTACAGTACAAGAGATTCTATACGAATATACGTGCTTACTCGCACACGGACAAAAGCTTACTTACTAAAAAACTGCGGGCTCGAACTGCCCAAAGACAAAGAAAGAATGTTCTAAAAATAGAATCGAACATTCGAGAACAAATTCATAAAATCCGCTAAACATTCTCACATTACACTGCATACTAAAAACTTGCATGAAAATCGACATAAAATAATTTCACATACATACATACTTAATATTTTCATGAAAATTAAAACTATAAAAAATGATTATTAATGACTCGACGGAACAACCGGTCTCGTGGTTATTATTAAATATTGATTTATGTAACGCTTCCTGCTGCAACTTTCCTTGTGAATGCAGTTGCATCACTAATCCTAAGATTTCGTATACTGCACAGTTGTTACTGCACTTTTAACTTATTCTTTCCTGTTATATTAGTCTCGTCAATTTTATGATGGCTGGCATATGTATGAGTAAAATTTGGATAAAAAATAAAAAATACAAAAGGCGTTAGGACATGGTTTTGACGAATTCGCGGGTGAATATCTCTGGCGGGGAGTTGAATTTTGAACTGATTTTTGGTCCGTTGTAAGATAATACTCTCAAAAAGATATATTTAAAATTTTAGACCGATAGCTTCATAAATGCCCCCTCCAGTGCCCCCAGAGTTGGAAGGAGCCAAAAAAACACTTTCCAAACTGAATTACTCATATAGCATGATAACCTAAGAGGTCAGAGGTGAATGATTGTTAATATTACAACCCTAGATAATCATTGCATGTAATAATAAAAGAATCTACATGAATTACATAATGTTGGGCCTCCATCGTCGCTGATACTTTTTCATGAAAATTGATAAATTGGACCGTGCACAGGAAAATTGACCTGCTGACCTTGAACGCGGACCCACTCGGTCAAATGAAGATTGAGGGCAAAGCTCTAAGTGTCCCAAATAATATTAAATTAAACAGTGAAGATTTTGTGTAAACAGTTTTGGAGAACGACCCTAGCTAATCAGCTGTCGCGGAATCCTAAAAAACTCGTGAACTTATTTGGAAAATTAATGGTCAAATTTTTTAGAAAATAAATTTTACTAATCTTTTTGTGTCCCCTACTGCAGAACTATTTTATCTACAAGGTACAAGTGACAAAATAATAAAATTATTGCGTTTTGGTTAATTAAATTATTTCTGAAGTTCGACATCGAAAACGACGGGAACTTTTCCAAAAATTTTATAAGGTCTGATGAAAACTCAGTCCGTGGGGTATAACCACTTATCAAAATTTTGTCAAAAGTACTTCAAGTGCAATATACTATATGTACCTTGGATAAAAACCACGTTAGGGATTTTTAGCATCAAAGTCGTAAAATGTGGGGGCCTTAAAAGTGGAAGAGTTGCGTTAAAGAGCGCATTCCATTAAGACAAGTATGAAATTAGACTGCAAAACGGACTTAAAAGATACGCATAAGGCAAACGTGGTTTTATATAGTGAAAAGCATGCTAAGTCCCTTAAAAATAGTCGCAAAGACGATTTTTGCATCAGGACCTAAGAAAAAATATTTAGTTCAACGCCATTTTATAAGAACACTGGTTTGGAAAACTAAAAAAGGACACCTCTCCAAATTTGACCTTGCCTCATTTCGCAGAGTACACAAAATCGGAAGCCAGATATGCTTACCTATAGTTTGAGACATGGGCTTTCACATAAAACAAGTTAGAAATCTCTACGACTAAAAACCATCCCGCAATTAAAGTATGAATTCGTCAAAACCATGTCCTAACGCCTTTTGTAACAGATTTTTTTTTATAAAATTTTTTGATATTTGACGTCTGGCGCGAGAAACTACTTTCTTCTGCTATAGTTCACACGGCGGATGGCTAGATGGCGCATATTGCTTGCGTTTCATTGCAAAAAATTTTGGCAAACCTGCAAAAAAATGATATACTGTCAATGAATGATTTTTGAATTGTTTGTATAATTTTATTCTTTGGGTCCATCCATTTGTTTCGTTTAAAATTTATCCATTTTAGCACTTACCCACACTCAAAATAATCTGGTGTCAATCCAGCGCGGTGAAGTCACATATAGACACCGCGCGGTGTTAATTGCCGTGGGGAGGGTGAGAGAGAGACCTTTGACTTTCTCCGTAGTTGAGATGGAGAACTGCCGCATTAACACCGCGTGGTGTCTATATGTGACAGCACCGCACTGGATCGACACCAGTTTATTTTGAGTGCACTCAACGTACACATTAAGGGATAGGGAACTTTAACATGGGAAAGATAGTAGGATCTGAACCACCCATCCATTAAAATAATGACGTAATATATGTACGCTTCCTTGAATACATAAGAGGCATATATTTCTGCATTTTTCAGATTTTGTAAGTTTTTGGATAATTTTATTCTTTAATACAAAATAGGCGATTATTTCTGCATTTTTCTGAATTCGTGAATTTACCGCACCCTGAAATATTTGACATGACGAATCACTCTGATATTCTCATCGAAGGACAAATGCGAAAAATTCGTCGAAATATTTACCTCTCTTACTCGTATAATATTTGCATAATATTAATGGAGGTGTGTATCATAGGTATTATTTATTTATGACAGCGATCAAGTATTTATTCTCTGGAAACGTGTTATCATGCCAATTCATGTCAAAGACCATGACACGACTTGATAACACATTGCTTCGAAATGGTTTCGAAAGGTGGACAAATTCATGCCAATTTTTCATGGGAATCGAATTCCACTTAATTCATTGACGTAATTGGGAAGTCAATTAAGTAAATATTTTTTTAAAATTGGAAACATGACATGATCCAGATAAGTTGCAAATTTCGACGAAATTAGGCTTTAAATAAGGTCGTCAATAATATGCCCAAATAAGGTATGGCTCAAAAATAGTCATATGCAGATTTGGTCCGCATATAAATAGGAGCGGGTCTCGTGCCACTAATTAGTCTCACTTTACACCTTCAATTTGTCAGGATGAACTTGCTAATAAAGATTTTTTGTTTGGCGGCAATTTTAAATTTGTCGGAAACATTTCAAATTTACGCGGATGTAGAAAAGTACAATGTTAAGTGGGAAATTGATGGGGACTTGATTACGTTTTCTATTGAGGCTGAGACCACTGGTTTTGTTGGGCTGGGTTTTTCACGGGGTGGGGGGATGAGTGGGGCGGACATTGTTGTGGGTGGGGTTCGGAATGGCGTGCCGTATTTGGAGGTTGGTGGGATTTTTGAGTATTTGTTTAATGGAATGATGTATTTTTATAAATTTGTTGTGGCCACTTTGATTTTTTAAGCCAAGATTCATAAATTTTGTATCAAAACTTCGCTAATTTTGTATCAAAAATTCGTAAATTTTGTAACAAGTATTCGTTGATTTTGTTCATTTTATTGGTTAATTTTGCAGATTGATAGAAATTTCGTTTGAAAATGTGTGTACAAAGTGATTTTTTTTAATAATTAAGAAATTATCAAAAATTGCGAAATAAATATTTTTCAAGGACATTGTAAAATTGTCAAGTAAAGATTCAAGAAGAATATATAAAAAATTGGGAATTTTTGGTCACAATTTCGAAAATTAAATTATATTTCCAGATAAACATTTTATTTATTTTGTAAACAGGACAGGCACGCGATTTCTCGATCTACCCCAATTTTAGACGAGGAACAAAATGTGGAGCTAATTGAAGCCTTTGAAAATGATACGCACACGTTTATCAAATTTTCTCGCAAACTGGAAACCTGCGATGAGGAGGGGGACGTTGCAATAACGGTAATTAGTTAAGTTTAAATGCTTTAAGAATTTACTTTTTTTATAAAAATGTATTTGATTAGGAGGACACAATTTCGTTAATTTGGAGTTTTGGCGCAACTGACGATTTAGTTTATCATGGAGCCAACAGAGGGAGTCGATCCGTTAATTTGTTAGATCCTCAAGGACCGGAAAATCCTGATTTGTCAAAGTATGTAAAGTTTACGATACTTTTTTGCATTAATTTTTGTCATAACTATTTTGCAAAAATATTGATTCGAATTATTTTACAATAATTTTGGGTTTCAAAAATTTCCGATGTGAATATCTTTTGAAAAATGTGGCCGCAATAATTTCCAAAAATGTTGCTTCACAAAATTTTTCTAAGATTTTGGTTTCGAAACATTTTTTGGTGTGCAAATTTTTTATTGCAAAATTGTATGAAAATATTTTGGTGTACAGATTTTCCAAAAATTTAACTTGCAAAGATTTTGGTGCTCAAATTTTCCAAAAATTTAATTCACAATAATTTTGGTTTTACTATTTTTTTTAAATTTCGGTTATAATTATTTTTTTAATTTTAAATTTTACAGGTATAAAGTCTGGGAATTACGAACAGTCAAAGCTATGCCCGCTGCTGACACCACGTACTGGTGCACTATTCATAAATCACCCAACGTTCCCAGAAAACAGCACATTGTTGGGGTAACTTGAAAAATGCGAGAAATGTTAACAACAAAATATTGTCGAAATTTATATAAATTAGCAACATTATTTATTTTTTTAATTCAGTTTAGCGCCATTTTAGAATCGCCATCCGCTTACGTGCACACCCACCACATGGAAGCTTACCTCTGTCACGTGCCTCCCGGGATGGAATCGGTGTTCGAAACGTATTTAAATCATACCGGGGAAGACTGCTATTATCCCGATGATCCTGATTTCCCGGGTCATTTTTGTGAATCTATAGCTTACGGATGGGCCATCGGTGGAGAGGTTTGTTTCTTTTTTTAAATAATAATTTTTTAAAAAACTGGCTCGAAGAAAAAAAAATTCGATTGGTTAAGAAAATTTCAAAATTTTATTGTTTGACGTGCCCAAATTTGACACATTTATGGAAAAAGCTAATTTAAGACTGCATTTTGAATTTGTCGGTTCTGGCTTTCGTTTGATGTTAAGGACGAATAACTCCATCATAGATTTTTAGTCTCATGCTGCCCCTATTCAATATCTACAAATTTCTATATCATCAATTTCATGCACGCTAAATAAAGTTGTGTACAACCGGTTGAGTAAAGTGGAATTGGTTAATTTTTCTACAACATTGGTACAAATTATTCCAACCTAAGACTAAAAACTAATCAACGGAGTTGTATAAATTGATCTTTACCCAACGTTGTAAATTTTGTAGTCATTACTTGTGAAAAATCGGTTTTCTACATGTATGACTAATTTTTACTCAATTATTGGTTAGTTTTTTTTACAAATAATTGCAACAAATAAACCAACGTAAAAGTTGAAAAACTCGCTACAATAAAGAATAAATTTTATACATAAGTTGAAGAAATTTTACTCAACACTTGTATCAAAATTAACAAACCAGTTGTGTGGTCTTGGATGACGCTTCCCGCGAGCACAAAAATTCTTCAGTTCTTCTTGCCACCTCGCCGCTCTAGTTAGGTGGAGATTTTTGTTCCTGCAAATTAGTTAAAAATTTCTAGAAATGACGAAATTTTTGGAATCAATTCTCCAGACAGTTGGACTGGAAGTATTATTGGAAACTTTTAAAGGTAGGATTATATATTTGGTGAAAAATATAGGTGTTGTACTATTTATGTCATCCGAACTATTAAAAAATCGTGCAATGCTTGGTCATTATTATAATTATTTATTTTTCCAATTTTAGATAATGATTTTGACGACGAACTTCTTCGTCAAATTCCCGACTGCCCTGCTGGTTCACTTGAGGAACATCTGTTTGCCACGCTGGTCCCGTCAATAGGAAACAGACTAAAAATAATTGGTGCAATTAGGAAGGTTAGTGTAGTTAAGGAAGAAAATGTGTATATATGTAGCTTGTGTCATCGTTCCTTAAATTCTTTCAAATCTTTTTGGAATCATACCAGGAATTTTCACGAGATAACAGGGCCTTCAGCCAGAATAGATTGTCCCTTGTGTTTAATGACCTTCACAAATATTAACAATCTTAGAAAACACGTGCAAGCCAAAATATGCCCAAAATTACTTTCACAATTTAGTTTTCCAAAAATAACAAATAACCTTAATGATGAGAATATTTTGTCTCAAGAAAGTTTTTTTAGTCATGATTATTCTGCCAAAATAATTAATGAAGTGACAAATGATTATAAATTGTCATTTATGAGGTCACTTCAAATGTCTGGATCAATTCCCCTAGTAAAATCTGGGGAAATTCTTTGTGCTGCAAATTCTTTGGTTAATAGCATTGTTGATATTGCTAAGACTTTCCTACAACCAAATCTTTCGATGAAATTAAAGACGATGAAATTATTATCAAATTAAACTCTTTAAAGGAACCATTTCCGAAACAAACTTCATCTCAATATCAAATTGAAAAATATTTAGAGAAAACAAAAATATTTATAGAAGCACAGGAACTACGACTTGGTTCGCATTTCAAATTCGACAATTCAGTAGGAGCGATGCGTGAGAAATTTGACAATATGTACTACTTCCGGATATCTGAAATTCTTCCCGTAGCCCTTAAAAAATATAGAGAGGTCACTGATGCCGGAGGACGTCTGAATCAGGATAAAAATATTATACGGGATTATCAGTCAGGGGAATTTGTCAGTAGTTTTACAGGAAATCCTCTTTTTATCCAAATTTACTATGACGATATTGAAATCTGCAATCCATTGGGTGCAAAAGCTAAAATCCACAAATTAGGAATGTTTTACTTCATAATTTCGAATTTTGCTCCTCATTTAAAGTCACAGCTTTCCGCAATATTCCCACTATTAATTGTTAAATCCAAATATATAAAATCATATGGGATGAATTCCATTCTTGCACCAATTGTAAATGAGCTTAATAAATTAAACAAAAGTATGCCTAAATCCGAGGAATTTGAAAACTCACCCTTTAGCAATGTCCAATTACTTCAAGTTTGTGGTGATAATCTAGCGCTTCATGCAATCCTTGGATTTTCTGAAAGTTTCAACGCCAATTTCCGTTGCCGTTTTTGCAAAGCAACCAAATCACAGAGCTACGTTGATGTGGAGGAGCGAAAAGAGTTGATTCGAAATAGATTGGGATACTCTGAAGATGTTGAGGTTCAAAACGTTAGTCTCACTGGCATAAAAGAACTATCCATAATTAATCAGATTGCTGGATTTCACGTTACTTCTAACTTTGCCCCCGATATTATGCACGACATATTTGAAGGAATTTGTATAATTGAATTAAAGCTGGTCCTCGAACATATTTTACAGAATAATTATTTTTCGCTAGTTGAAATTAATCATAGATTGTCATGTTGCTTGAAGAGAAATGGTCATCATTTAACAAAATTTCCCGAAATAGGCTCAAATATTATTGACGGCGACAAAAAGTCTTGTTTTTCTGCGTCAGAAATGAGTAATTTCTTTCTCGTCTTTCCTGCAGTTTTTGGTGACCGAATTCCATCCGACGATAAATATTGGAACTTAATACTTAAATTTCGGAGAATAATACGCATCGTGATGGCTCCAGTCATAACACGATCAAAATTATTACTTCTTCAGTTCTTAATAGCAGAGCATCATCAGATGTATATTGATTTAACGGGGAATAATTTAACTCCAAAATTTCATCACTTATTGCATTATCCAAACGCAATTAATCAGTTAGGCCCACTCAGAAATTACTGGTGTATGAGATTCGAAGCCAAGCACAGATTTGCTAAAACGGTTGGTAAAAACTCGTGCAACTTCAAGAATATTTGCAAAAGTGTCGCAAGGCGAATGTCCCTAAATATGGCGTTTTCACTTGGTTCCATTAACATTGAGCCAAAAGTTCAACTTAGTATTGGACCCGGCAATACATTTGACATTAGGGACATCAAAGATGATGTAGATTTTTCCACCATATCGTCAGCTCAGTGTAATAAAATATTTTGCCTTGATTTTGTTCAAATAAATAGTACAAAGATTTCTCCACTAAACTATTTTCTTATTGGAAGTTCTGAGTCGGGGCTGCAATTTTGTCAGGTGATTTTATGTTTTGTTCATGATGAGAGTGTAAAATTAGCTGTTGCTCGTATTCAATATGTTGAAAAATTTCAATATTCATACATTTTCAAAGTAGGAAAAAAGACAAGGCTGAAATACTTGACCCCTTACAACTTGACCTTCAAAATCCATTGGTAGTGGTAAGGTCGTTCGATGAGTGTGATTCGGTGGATAATATTTGTTGTCCTATTGAGTTAATTTAGTTATAAGCTTATAATAATAATTCCCTTCTTTATCGTGATGCTCTCAATAATTAATTATATAGCGAACCAATTCGAAATCTGTGACGTCCAGCGTGCAACAGATTTCCGACGGTGACCAGTCAAGCCAGGAGGATAATATTGTTCAGTACTTAGTGGTTCGTAAATTTGTTAACATAACTTTATTTGTTTGGTTAAGTGCTAACTGTTTAAAAATATTAATGACTTCTAGGTAACTCCGCCCACCGCTACGCCACCTCGCCAAGAGGAAAACATATTTGTGGATGAATTACAAAATATTCCGGTTTCTCCAGATTGCAACGTCGCGGATCCCTTATTTGTAAGTTTAGTTGTAAGATATAATCTATCCTTTTTAATGAAATTATTTCTGTCAAGCAGGACGTTAAGCGGATTATTCTTACATCTGACGCTGATAAAGGAACAACCAAAGGAAGGAAACTTTTAGATGATTGCGTTGAAACAAATGTGATCAACTTTGCCCTTAAAAATCTGATAAAACGACGGACCGTGAATCATCTTGTTAAGCAATACTCATATTAGTAATTAATACTTAATTATCATTCACAAAACTATGCGTTACCTTATATGTTTTACAAAGTAATAAGTTGTACTAATTTTTGATTAATTTTAGCCCGCCTAAGTACGTGAAAGAAAATTTGGCCCAATGCATTGCAGTTCAATTGTTTCCTTCGCTCCCAGACTCTCAAAAATTGGATATAATTGTAAGAAAAATGTCAACACTTTAAAATATTTAAAATATTTTCCACTGAATTCAGATTTTTTGCTTCAATTCCAGAATTTATTCTACAGTGAGTCGAAGTTATCAAACTCCAAGAGAGAAGGCTCAGATGGAATTATTTACAGAAGAATTCCAGCATCCGGTTTGATTGAGGACAGATTGAAATATATTCGTCGAAAGAATGAAGTGAAGTGTCGAGTCCAACCGCCTAATGTGGAATCGTGCCAAGTTTTGGGTAGGCATATTATGCATGACAATTATTTAAAATTCCGGGAAAAATTACTAATTTTGTGAATTTATCAGATCCAACTGTAGACGAAGAGGAGAAAAAGTCTTGGCTTCTCAACTCTACCGTCCCCATATCTCAGGTCACTAAATACATGTCTGAGACCTACTGCTTGAGAACATCCCAATTCAGGAACACGAATAATTTAGCGGAAATGTTGGACCAAGGCTTCTCGACACTCCAGGAATGGTAACGTCACAACTTTCTAAGCGGACTAAATTTAAATTTGATAAAAACTATCGAACACCTTATAACTTTATGCAAAGATTGAGCTGGACTTCAAGACTTTATTTCCTGGCAAATGTGATAAGATGCTTCTGAAGTGGGCAGCAGTTTCAGTACAAATCTGCAGTTACGCCGAGAAAATCAAAACCAACTTGGACGAAATCGGCATAAAAAAACCTTTGTCGAATTGGTCTAAAGGTTAGAAATTAATAATTAAGAAATATAAAGTTAATCATCTAATTTTAGTTGTGAATTTGAGATTTGTAAATGTTTTTAATATTGACTTATTTACACGAAGATGACAAGACGGTTGGGGCGCTTGTGTTACTGCCATATTTGACTGCTAGCTCAGCCTATTCAAAGAAATCCAAAAAGAGGAAGAAAATAACATCGGGAGAGTCAGCTGAATTTTTCATACAAGTTGTACCGGTTAGCTAATTTATTTTATTGATTTGTTAGGTAATAATAATTGGTAATTCAACGGTGTTATGTTTATTTAGGTAACACATGACATTGAAAATTTTAGGACAATTGAGTCAAGACGAAAACAACCCTTTGTTCTGTGTGTCGGAGAATTGGGATCCCTTATAATACATGACTCCTACGTTATGGTGGAGAGGAAACTTGTGAAAGCGTCGTCGCTAATTAATGCTGTGGATATCTGTTTCAAAATGTTTCATGTGCTTCAACTTCAATTCCCTGATGAATGTTACCCAGTCTGGTGCTTCTTCGATCACTCGATTTATCAAACTAAAGAAATTCGTTCACCCCCCTCGGCAGTTCTTTCACTTGGATCTCAAATAACTATAGATTAAGTTTATTAATATGCAACTACCTGACTTATAAATTAAGTACTAATCATGTTCTAGTTGTTAAACTTGGTACAAAATAATTATGTAATAATTTTAAAATATGACTTATATGAATAAAAACAATACTTTTTATTAAAGGTAAACAACATCATCTCTGAAATAATTATTAAATTCCAACCATTTATTGTGCACAATTTATCAAATTGTTGGAAAAAAATTACTCAATAATTGATCAGAATTTACCAAATAATTCAGCAAAATTCACTTAATAAAAGTGAAATTTTACTCAACTAATGTATAAAATCTTGTCAACCCATATTTTCGTATCGCGATTTAGTTGGGTTAATTTTACTCAACTTTTGATCAATTGGATTACTCAACCCCTGAGTGAAATTTTTACACAACAGTTGTGTCATCTCATTTCGGCCTCAACAGTTGGGTAAAATGTGATCAAACTTGGGTAAATTTTAATCAAATTTATTTAGCGTGTGATTTTTTATATAAATGCGACCTTTAAAAGTTTAATGTAAATCAATTTTTACTTTTTTCAATACTTTGAAATTTTTTTGGTACTATAAAATTATCGATTCGAGAAAAATCAGTGAAATCATTTTTTGAGGAAATTTATTGCGAAACAGTGGCCATTGAATATTTCAAAACATTTTTTAATCTGTTGGGGTTTGTAGTCACTAACTTAATTTTTGCGTACCTTAACATTTAATTGAGGTAACGCAGATTTTTCAATTTGGATGTTCCGTAGAAATTTGAATCAAGGTTCGTAATTTTGTGAAATTAACGGATTTTGCTACGTAGAACTGCGTGAGTATTTATTTGGCAATTTTTTATAGTTTCTAAATTTATAAAGTAAATTTGTTCAAAAATTTCCAAACTTGAGAACAAAATTTTTACTAATCTGTATATATGTACTAAGATCACAGATGTCGTTTTGCAGTTTGCAAAATTATTATTATAAAGTTTACAAAATTGTTAAAGACTGTGTGAATTGTCTTTGAAAAACCTTGGCCAATTTACTAATCAAGAGTTTATCCATGTGTTTCATAGATTTTAGTTTTATAATTATTTTTTCATAAATGTTTTTCATAAATTTTGAAAAAATGAAATTTCTAGGTTGTCCTATTTCCCGATCATGTCGGATTTCCTCTCGTTTCTGGAGAATATTTTAAGTTGGAAGTGCATTACAATAATCCCAACCATTTAAACGACGTAGCCTTTGATACGGGATTAAAACTATATTACACAGAAGATCTCAGGTATTTGATAACTAACTTTGCGAAGTTGACAATTTTTTTGTGTAAAGTTTTGTGTAATGTTTTTAAAGAAAATTTACAATTTATGAAACGAAGACTTAAAAATTGTAACCTTATCCAAAATTTCGTACATAATTACCAAAAGTTGCAAAATTGTGAGCAAATTAAGCATTTTTTGAAAACTTTTTCACAAAATATATCAAACTTTATTCGAAACATTTACAATTTAAGAAAAAACAAAGGTTTTAATTTAAAAAGCTGACTCTACTTTAAAGCCTATTTTTAAACTCTTAAAATTTGTAGGGTTTATGAAGCCGTGTGTAAAAAATTGGTCAACTTTTTATTCAAACTTTCTCATAAAATGTGTAAACGTTTACAATATTTAAGAAAAACAATAAGTAAAAATGAGTAGGTTTTTAAACGCAAACCTTCTCGAAATTTCGAAACTCATAAAATTTAAAAAGTTACAACCGTTTTTCTAACCTAATTACGACAGAGTCCTCGACGCTGGGAGGATCGCGATCGGATCGGAAATCAATTTTACGCAAATGATTCCCCCGAATTCGGAGAAATTTGTGACCGTCGCGCACTGCGATGTTTCCTGTACGGCTGAATTACCCGAAAATGGGGTCGCTCTATTCAATTTCTTAATTCATGCACACCTCTCGGGTAACAAAAATTAAAAAAATACACGTAAAATCCGTATTTTCAGTAATTATGTATTTCAAAATTAACTGCTCAATTAATTAAATTAGGGAAGAAACTGAAAGTTCGACAGTTCCGGAATGGAGAAGAATTACCCTGGTTAATTAATGATGAACATTACGATTTCAATTTTCAAGCTACGCGCCCATTTCGGAAGGAAATGCGTCTCATGCCCGGCGACCACTTAGCGTTGGGTAAGAACTTACAAAACTTGGAATGTTCGTGAAGATTATAAAATGGTGTTACATTTTTATTTGCAAAAATAAGTGCAATTTTGCAATAAGTTTGCAAAGTCTAAAATCAAAGTAATGTCTTTGTCGAGGTTACAAACTTGCATTTTAGGGTTACCAAAAGTGTTAGAATTTTACTATTCCTTAGTAACTTTGTAATGTCCGTAAATTCTGTAAACTTTCAAACTTTTGCAAAAGTTTAGAAATATTTCTGCAGAAAATTAGTTCCAAATTTTCGTAAACTTACTCAAGTCAAGGGCGTCTTTTTATTTTGTAACTTTTGTCCTTCGTAACTTCGTAAAATAGATAAATTTTGCAAAATAATTATGCAAATTTTTTATAAAATAAAAAGACGGTCTTGATCTCAGCAAGTTTACAAAAATTTGTAAGCTAATTTTCCTTCGAAACATTTGTAAAAGTTTATCTAGATTTACAAAGTTACCAACAACTGCGTGAATTTACTCTATTTTGCTACCTACACACATTTTTTTTAATTTTCCCGCAGAATGTGAATACGATAGCAGGTGGAAGAACGGGTCCGCCATTGTGGGTGGAAGGTCGACAAATGAAGAAATGTGCATGACCTTTATCTCATATTACCCCCGAATTGACGGTCTTCTAACGTGCAATAGTGAAGTGAACAAGGACAAATTATTAAATTTCTTTCAAATTCAGGAAATCTCATTGTATGAATATTTCTTAAAAATATGCACCAAATTCACTCGTAACTTTGTAGACATTTAAAAACGAAAGTCTCAAATTATGAAGAAAAAACCACCTTTTGGATAAATTTTAGAAATTTTAGAAATTAATATCACAAAACAATTATCAACCAACGTTTGGTCTTACAGGATTTCGTTTAAAAAATAATTTTACAAAATTGTGGTAGAAAATAATTTGCAAATTTTTGCTTAGAAAGAAGTTTTACGCATTTTTTTAAGAAAATAACTTTGCCATTTATTGCGTAAAATACTTTGTCAGAATTTACAAAGTTAACAAAGCTGCGAGCGAATTCGTCATAATTTCCATAATATCAAAAAAATTGAAAAATATGTTTTTTACAGAAATCATCCCAGCGATACGGACCCCATTGTCGAATTACCGCTTGAAATGCAAGGTCGGACCTTTTCTCAGGTTGTCGAATCCGTAAATTGGACACCAGAAGTGCGGGAATTTTACCAAAAGGTGACCAGATTTGACCGACATGACGCTTACTGTAGACCGAGCGGGGTTCAGGTTAAAGTTGGATATCCCCCACATGGGGAGGACTACGTTCCAGGGGATGTTTGCGAGAGAAGGCGGCGGTAATTTTGAAATTATTACGTACACTCGGAAAATATGTTGTACGTAAGCAGTTTCGTGGTTTAGGATTAATTTTTTATGAATATTAATGTGAATATTACTTTTGAGTCGAACACAAATAAATTGACAAATACACATAAAAGCACCTGCATTAAGGTTCTCGTGTATAAAATGTGTTTTAAATTTGAATTTTTATCTCTGAACTTTCCCTTCTTTCATATATTTTTTAATAGTGATTTTGAAACGTGTTCATCTACCTGGTTTTTTGACAAAAATATGAAGATTTTTTTGCATCTAAAATTCGATAGTTTTTAGGATTGCAAAGTTTTTTTTCTTCCATGAGAAAATATGGGCCTATGTGACATATGTAGGGTCTAGAAAATCGGGATTTTTCCGTTACATAATTTATGCACGTCGCTTTATAAATATTCTAAGTTTTTTTTTAATTTCTACTATAATTGGTTATTTTTTCGTAATTAGCCTTTAAGTTAATTGATTCTTGATAAACATGTGTGTTAAATAAGGTTGCAAGACGAAGCTGTTCCATTATCATCAATTTTCCAGACCGTCATATATTTCCCACGAATCGAATGTCCGCCATATAAGGGGTAGTGATACCCTCCGTCCAACGATTTAAGGTGGGGTGCATCCAGATTGAATTTTAGGTAGGTTTGCATCTCGTAAATTAGTCGACAAAGCTGTGTGGACATAAAGATAGCTTTATTTTGAGAATATTTCCATACCTCAACTTGGCATTAAATTAATAACCCCTCCAAATGGTTCGATTTTGCCCAGTAACTGAATTTTAATTACCATTATGTTAATTAGCAACTTTGCCCTCACATAATTTGTGTTCGTCCCCCAAAAATCAAAACTTTTAAGGGACAAAAGCAATCTTTTTTTTAAACTGATTTTTGAAAATTTAGCCATAACAATTATACAGTTAAAAATTATTCCATTTTTTTAAACGGGTTACTTACATTTGAGGACAATCCGCATACGACGTATTCACACTCTGATAGCAGAAGAATATCCCGCGCAATTTCGAAAAGCCCCAACTTCCGGTTTTTAAGTGACTCGGAGAAGGAGGAGTGAAACCCCATCACGGTCCAGTTCAGATATCTGGAGATGCGAAAGTTTTCAGTGTTCGCTATGCAACCAGGGTCCAAAACATCCGTCCAAACCCGGTTTTAAAACCAGTTTTGGACAGTGAATTTTGGACGCCCAAAATGTCCAGAACGTCCAAAAGTGACCAAAATAGAAAATGAGACAAAATATTATTAGTTCCCCAGGTTATCGATAAACCCCTGACGTTGTGATGTAATGCCCCTATTAATTTTGGGCATTTTGGTATAGTTTTTAAAATAAAAAACAATTACAAAAACTGTTTCAAAATTTCTTGGTATTAGAAACTAATAAAATTCCCAAAAATTAATAAAAGATTACATACATACATGTGCATATGAAGATTTGAAAAAAGTCGTCAATTTTTTGGACATTTTGTCCAAACTAATTTTGAACACTTACATAAGATTTTGGACGTCCTCAACGAAAGTTTTGTAAATTCAAGATTCTTCTCAAGAGTACTGCTCCAGTTGTTATAAGAGTTCATTAGCCGAATTATTCAATATCGTATGATTTATACGCAAAAATAAAATAACTGGTCTTAAATAATATAATAATTCGGCTGATTCGGCTAATGTAATCGTGGATCGATTGGAACTCTTATAAGAAATGGAACAGTAGCATGAACTTCACTTACAAGGACCTCGCCTCATCTATCACGGACGTATTATCGGATGAAATGTATACTCTACGTGGAACCGAAATATTATATTTCGCCTCAATTTTCAGGAAATATTCCTCCGCTTGTGCCATATATTGGGCGACCTCGTGCACAGATCTTGGTGATTCTCTGACCTTGTCGGTTCGTCTTATTTGTAATCTATATAAATATGCAAATTCTTTCGCATACAATGGAGGTCTTTAAGCGTATGCTCTCCGATTTTGAGCATATTAGTGTCAATCGATGACAAATTTAATTAGGATGAAATTTACAAAAGACACGATACTTTTGATTTCCATCCGAAGAGGAGAAAACGCGCAGTAAATTTGGAAAGGGTAAAGCGTGTCGACCTTTGCGCGCGTTTTCTTCTCTTCGGATGCAAATATCTCGGCCCATTGGGAGATCGTGTCTTTCGCAAATTTCATACCAATTAAACTTGTAATCGTTTGACACTAATTGCTCAGAATCAGAGACCATTCGCTGAAAGAACTCCTTTGTTAGTCGTTGTAAAGCGTGGTCACTTAATCATAAGTTGGACTTTTGATATTTTATGTATTTGTGGTAAGATTTGACCACTTTCTTTTGGACTTACCCAACGATTGGTCCAGATTCGGGATCGAATCCAATTTCCCTCTGCCACTCCTCAATTTGATTCGCAAAGGTCTGATTCAATTTCAAAGTATGCTTTGCAAACTGACCAATCATCCATAAAAATGGGTTTGGAAGCTGATTTGAGGTATTTTGAAAAAAATCGTAGAGCGATGCCTCCACAGGGATTCCGAAAGAAAGTGGGAAAGGAATTTCTGTCCCAAACTTGTCGAATAGAACGTTGTGGCATTTTGACACTGCAACAAAAATTAAGCCGGATATCAGGTAAAGTTTGTAACAATTATCCCTCACGTGCTCTCAAACTCATATGAAAATTAACGTGAATTTAATTTTTGACCACCCCCTGGCGCTGTGGGGGGTGGTCCGATTGACTCTATTATTGAACTCGACCGAGAAATAAAAATTGGAAGCACAATGGTGAAAACCGCTTTTGATTATGTTGAGGCAATCTAAAGATATCCTGCTTACGGACGGACGGACAGACGGACAAAGTGATCGCAATAAGTAGCTGCCGCTACTTAATAATTTTTTAACCCTAAACTTTTGAGCTTCAGGTCAATCGCATAATTTTAACGAGTCAGGTCATATAGTGTCGAAAACAGGTCATGACGATTAAAATATAATAGAAATATGCACCGTGCTTACCCGTCTTGTTCTTATCAATTTTCCACCTCCAAGTGTACGTATTTTCTCCAGGGGTACAATTTGACCCCAAAGGGAGAAAAACCTCGCTCCATCTGTTAGAATATGACCAGCTGTCACTGTCCACCGTGTGGATTAAGGGCATCTTGGTCACGTAAGAAATTAGGAGACACAGAATCCGCTGATGAAGTTGACAGCCCAATCCACAAGCTAGATAAGTAAGAGACAATTAAGAAATTTGTATATGGCTTAAGGTTCCCTTGTAAGCAGGTTTTGAATCTGAATTTTTTGTGTCTCAACTTGCCCATCTTCCATGTATGCAAATGGAGATTTTGAAACCTATTCATCGCCTAGCGTTTTTTATAGAATTAAGATTTTATTGCATGTCGAAATCGATGATTTTTATGTTTGAAAAGTTCGGAGGGTAGAATTTTGATTTTTTTCTTCCGTCAAAAAATAGATACAAAATAGATAGAAAATATTAAGTAAACATTAAATAGTTTAACGTGCAAGAAAAATATCAAAATTGTAACCTAACTTCGTAAGTAGATTTTTAGAATTAAAAAAATCTTAATTTTGATAAGCCTCCAAATTCAAAAACCGCGTACAAGAAATCCTTAAACCGATGACCAAATTGTGCTGTCGAACCATCTTGATGTCCACACGTAAAATTGGGCTGATCACACCCTTTCCGCTGAATAGCTTCGATTTGGTCGGTTAAACGTGTTGACAGCATGTTTCTTAGTTCAACCTCGTCCTCTGAGTCGTGTATAAAGCTCGTATCGAGGCGAGATTCATCTCTAACTTGTGATCTTTGTAGGAACGCGGTCAGTCTGTGATTAAATGTAGTTTGAACTTCAAATTATTCAATTACGTAATCATTTAGTGCTCCGGATGAGTCGGATTCAATCCGATTGAATCCGGCATTTTGACATTCGAATCTCAAAGTCGAGATAACTGAATCCCAAAAACAGGATGTCGGATAAAAACAAACAAGGGATTCGAATCCGGGATTCGAGTAATACTCGAATTTATGCTTAAGACTCTAAGATGAAGCTGGAGTTGGATTCACTCGAATCCGGAGTCTAATCCCGGATTCAAACTCGGCGTCGACATGGGCGAATCCTAAGAAACACGGAGTCGATTCGGACTCGAATCCGTGCGGAGCACTATATTCATATGCATGCATACCTCAACATTTCTTCGGTCGTGTTGCATTTCTCGCTCCAATTCCCAATCGGGGTGTGGGGCGTGGTGCCTTCCATCCAGAAACTTTGGCAAGTCAGAGTATCTTCGTATTGACGACCGTAGTGTGAAAAAACGTAACATATTGTCACAACAAGGCCGCACAGGAAGAAAATGCTAAATTTTCGTTCCACTTTAAATGTCATTGTCATGAAATGTTTCTATACGATAGTAGTGATTTAATTAATTAGTATTCAATTAATTGATTATTAGTATTTACTATAGCGGTATACAATGAATGTTTTTTTCGTGTTTTATCAATTTTGATGTATAGTAAATATCTTAAAATTAGCGCTATTTTGTATACTCCAAGAGTTTTGTAATGACCCACCAGCAGTTTTCGAGATATAAGACAAAATGTTCAAATTTTTTTCGATAAGTTTGAAAATCCTAATTTTTCACCAAAAAATCGTCCAAATTTGGTAAAATATTAATAGTAACCATAACCACATAAAAAATTGCATGGTTACGGCGAAGCCTAAGTATGCGAACAGACCCCCCCTCCCAAAGTTCCACTCAAGTTTGTGGCAAAACGGCTAATCGTATCAAAATGGTGTAAAAGGCAATCGTGCAGACCTTGCTGAGTAGATGATGCCCGTCAGGTCTAGAGACATGACAATCTTATTTCAACGCATTTAAAATCGATTTTAAACTTTCAAATGACTGGCAAATTCAATTTTGCCATGCAATGATAGTGCGGGACCTTAATTTTCATATGCAGAAATCTATAACGCGTCATTTAAAACAAACCCGAGCGAAATCGGATAAGAAATGAAGGACTTTTCTTGGTGGCATCTGCAACCAGTTACGTTACTTATAACAGTCATTCATTACTTATCACGCATACCTAAATACGAGGATAGCTTTGTTCAAATTCAAGATGTTAAATAAGCCCACCGATCCTGGTAGTAACTGGGAAAAATTTGTAAATCCTTCAAAAATTTGGTGCCAAATAACAGAAAATATCTACCAAAGGTTTAACCATTCGCACCACAGAGCTTGGTAATATTATGTCGGTCAAATCGGAGAAGCGGGTTGTGACTCACCGAGCCAGAGACTCTGTCCCTGACTCGGACTAAATGGAGCCTGCACTGTAGGTTTTGTATAATAAACTTCCAAGATTTGAATTATTGAAACAGATAGACTTATAAGTTTATTTTGTTAATCATTACTTCTAAAATTTCTAAAAGTTGATATAATCAGCTGAAATTTAGAATGCAGTCGAAAAATGTCATATTAGTTTTACCATTTATCAGTGATACAATTTCATGAGCTAAGCATAGCTGAAACCCTTTTTCACATAAAATTGAGGATGGGGGAAAATTTTCATGGGTGAGAACTTGTACGGGTGAGAACTTGTATGGGCGAGAACTTGTATGAGTGAGAATTTACATACGGTGAAAACTTACGGGCGAAAACTTGTGGGCGAGAACTTGCATAGTACCAAATACGAGGTTTCCATTAGTAACCAGCATACGAGAAATTATTGTGCTAATGTATGTAAATATGTGCATCTGCATGTACAATCTTAGAAATCCAGTATTAAAATAATTCCAAGCAGTATTCCTAAATGAATCTACCCAAGTGGTATTGATACGTAATACTGCGTAGTAAGTATCGGTATCAAATTATTACGGATCGGTATAATTTTAATACCAGATTTCTAACCGTGTATATCTTATATTAATGCATATTCTTAACTATACGAGTCCACACCCGCAGCAGAAACTAATTTGGTACAATATTGGAAATCCAGCATTAAAATAATACCAAACGGTATTCACACACTACTCAATAAAACTGGTATTGATAAATGATAAGTAATAAATTGTAGTAATAGCTTGGTAGCAAAATTTTACGGACCGGTATAATTTTATAATTTTAATGCCAAGCGGTAGTAACTTTAGTACCGAAAAATCAATACTGGCGTCACTACACCAGATTTTTAAAGTGTATGCATTCACACTTAGGGGAATTAATCTGGCATGCAACGCATCCGAACCCACACTTTGGGATTAATTTGGTATGCATCTACACTCTAGGGGGATAGTTAATTTTGGACTCTTGGTTATTTGTAGGCTTAAAAACAAAAAATAAATCAATTCTTTAAAAAAAGCTTAGGTGAGGCTTGCTTAAAAGGGGAAAACAAGCTGTTATCATCGTGTACTAAAATAATGTGGTGCATCAGTGTTTATCCCAGAATTATAATTTTCGGTAACTATCCCAACAAATATTATGCATTAGGGACCATTTGCCTCACCGGGGGCCGTGTTGTAATACAAACAATTGAAATAAATTTTTAATTTCATTAATGTGGTAATTGGGGTTGAGTAATCTAATTAGTTGCTTATTTAATATATTCCTGTGCGTTCCTAATTTTGAGTAATTTGCTCTGATCATTGAGTAAGACTCATCGAATTTCGTTATCTATATATAATCGATTAATGGTCAAACTTATGACACTGAATTTCAAGAATTTTGTCCATCATCAATAATGTGAAATATATCCATGCTGATTATCAAAGATAATATTATAATCAAATAGTGACGGAGTTTAATTAGTGTTAATTTTTCATATCAATACATGATATCAATATATATGTCAAGAAGGTATATTTGTATCAACCAATTGATCACGGCCCCCGGTGAGGCAAATGGTCGCTCATGCATAATATTTGTTGGGATATTTACCGAAAATTATAATTCTGGGATAAACACTGATGCACCACATTATTTTAGTACACGATGATAACAGCTTGTTTTCCCCTTTTAAGCAAGCCTCACCTAAGCTTTTTTTAAAGAATTGATTTATTACCATGAAATTTTAATCGCGAGGGAGAAAAACACTAATTCTAGCAATAAATTTCATCATAATTTCGTTTAAACTGAGCATTATGAAATATGTTGAAACACGTGTTTAATTATTACGTACCTTCAGCTATTTTATGCGAAGACTTTGCCCGTGTGTCAGCACACTCTTAGGCAACTGGTATTAAATTATTACGAATCATTACTGGACGGAGTACCTATATGACTCTACCGGCATCAGTAATATCAATCGATATGGCGTAGCAATGAGGTGGTCCTGAAATCTGTACCATTCAGAATCAAACTATAACCAATCCGGTAAGGAATTATTACCAATTCAATACCAGCACGGAGTACATATGTCATCCTATCATGTCAGCGAAATCGCTTGAGAACTGGCATAGCTGTGAGCTAAACCTTGCGGGCAATGTCGTTATTAAGGAACCTTGTATGGTCCATTATTTCAATCTGTAAGTTAAATTACGTCCAATTCATGTTACTAGGATAGAACAGACCTACGTTGTCGACTAAATG